GAATACTAATGTTTTAAATCCTCTTTAGCCTTTGACTCATCGTGTATCAGCCACTTGACAGCTATCAGGGATTTAACATGCTGTGTTGTGGGGTTTTATACAGTATGTTGCGCAAAAATATACCGCAGATATTAGCAGGAGCTTCCCTGTTGGGTCGGAACCCTAGTCAGTCAGTTCTGTGTTCCAACTCAGTGCAGTGGAATGATTCCATCATTCTGGAGATTTTTTCAGAGTTCCGTCAGAGGATTTTTCTGTCCTTGTATGGTCTCCTTTAGAATATCTCTGGATGGTTATTAAAACCAAAGAGTAATGGGGCAGAAGTGAGGAGGCAAAGGAGAGAATGAAGATGTCTGGGAGAGGAGAAGAAGAGAGAAGAGAAGGAGGGTCAGAAGGGCTATTGTTCTCTACCTTCTCCATCCTCTCCTACATGATTGGGCTTGATTTTGAAAAGGCAGCTTTGTTAGAAAATGGGTCCAAAGAGAGGCATCATAGGGACCAAAGTTGAAACACACATTCAACATTTTCCTAGAGTTGGTTGATTCCTTGTGAGAGGAGAGTGACTGCGGAAATATGTAAATGTTCCCTGATACTCTCCCTGAGCGTCTTGCCTCACCCTCACCCCCCACCACACACACTCTCCCCCATTATAATGAGCCATTGACTAACTGTAGTGTGTAAAGTGGCTCTCCTGTAATCCACTACTGCTAACACCCTCCAAACCTCCCCACTCTGTCTCTCTTTCTGTCTGTTTCTCTCTCCAACTGTGTCAGTCTCTCTCGCCATCTCTCTGTCTGACTCGCCATCTCTCTGTGTGTCTGTCTATCTCTCTGTCTCGTATCTGGTAAGCCTTACTGAATTATTCATCCAATATGCTTTCTGATGAGTCCCATCACTGCAGTATTTCAACACTCACTATATGTATATTCCTTTTTGTTCTATCCGTTTTTCTTTCTCTCCCATATTCTATGCCTCCAAACACCATATTTCCTTCTCCTTATTGCCATTCACTGTCACACTGATTTGCTAAACTGGATGTGACAGGTGGAGAAGCTTGTTCATGCTTCTTATAAAAGCCATACATTTGGTTTAATGGACATTTCTCTTCCCTTTTTTTTTCTCTCTCCCCGGTTTTCATGCATTTGTCTTGACCATGAGGAAGCTTCTTTTCGTAAGATGTTTTATTTTATTTTGTCACAGGGATCTCTCTCTCTCTCTCTCTCTCTCTCTCTATATATATATATATATATATATATATATGCAAATGGTAGCCCTTGAAAAGTAGGTATCTTTGTTTTTTGGTAATCAGCTCCTGTTTACATAAACAAAGCAATTAACTTGGAGTGTGTCATTGCTTCCCAGCAGCTACTCTCAGGCTGCCTGACTTGTTGTAGCAGCCTAACTCTGCCAATATGATTTTCTCCTCATCTATATTTTAGTGTACATAGAAAGCAATAAGCTCAACAAATGAATTATAGGGACTTGTTTTTGGTTTGTAGGCTAACATTGTTGGACCAGAAAGGTAGAGTCACTGTGCTTGATACTGTAGGTCACTGTGCCCTGAAAAAGTGGGCTGCTTGAAAATTATAAATCTTCTGTCCTATTTTCTTTTTGAGTGCTCTCTCTCTCTCTCTCTCTCTCTCTCTCTCTCTCTCTCTCTCTCTCTCTCTCTCTCTCTCTCTCTCTCTCTCTCTCTCTCTCTCTCTATCTCTGTCTCTCTCTCTCATTCTCTCTACATGAAACATCTACTATAATTAGCCCAGTATATTTTGGTTCCTTTATCTAACAATGCTCTGCTATTCAAGACCTACATATCTCTCCTTCTCTGTTGCTCTCATAGAAACGACATCCGATGATCAATTTCTTCACAGGTACTATACATAAAGAAACCTAAAAATTCCCCAGGCATTAGTCATAATGCCCTATAATAACTAGCGAGATCTGGAGGCAATACAGTTATAATAGTCCTCTTCGGGTGCTTTCCAAATGGTACGATATTCCCTATATAGGGCACTGTTTGACCCGAGACCTATCGACCCTGGTCAAAAGTAGTGCACTATATAGGGAATAGGGTACTATTTGGGATGCACCCATTTTCATACACCCGTTTTAGACTTCTTCCAGTCATATGTGGAGGAAATAATGCATAATGCCCTATAAAAACTAGCCAGTTCTGAAGGCCATACAGTTACTGTATAATAGTTATCAGACTTGTAGAGCAGTAGACACCCGTTTTAGCCATCTTCCACACCTGCGTCCTTCCTAATGAGGGTTGGAGGGGAGTGCTGCTGCTGCTGTTTACTCCATCTCTCTGTCTGTCTGTCTGCCTCTCTCTCTCTCCCCCCTCTCTCTAGTCAGAATTAAATAGCCTCTTACTTCCCCCTCCAGCCTGCCTTACATTTCAAGCTGTTCCTGTCTCATTTACACTGGCACACAATCAGTAATGATGTCAGGAAACTGCAAGGTACGAGCTGACAAAAAGTATGTTTTTTGACTCATCCTTTAGGGAGAAAAAGATGAGTGGAAAATGCATCTATCGCATCCATTAGTATCTATTACATCCCCTGGGACCTGGGGACCTATACGGTAGCATCTTTATGGATCATTTGATCCCACTTCATGTAACAGGAAGAGAAATGTAATCAAAATGTTATCAGCTGCCTAGTTTTCCCTAGTCTTTCCCTCTCTTTAATCCTAATCACATTTTGCTCTCATCAAACCCTCATCACGTTCTCCTCATGTTTGACATTACACACTTGAATACATCCTCAGAACAGGAAAAGGGTTTTTAGAGAAGTTCAGACTGGAAACATCAGATGAGTTCTACGGTACACAGTGGAACAAAGCAGTAGAATAGAGAACTATGGAGGTTGAGCAACAGTAAAACAGTGCTCTGGTGCTCTCTAAAGGCCATTCTGGAACATGGCATGACTTCTCTTACTTTACATACTGTATGCTTTCTATACACATTGCTTACATTGCCTGCTGCTGTATAGCCTGGAATCAACACTGAATAGTGGTGAAATTGAGCAATATTCAGTTTAGTGTCCAGGTTGACTGCTGAAATGAAATGAGTGTCTTTTTTTTTGCATTATTTAATTAATTAACTTAGGGAGTTGACTGAAGTTCAGTGATGTCGTGCTAGAGAAGCATCTCCTGGTAGAAGAGACCCACAATGACAGTGATGTAACATACTTTTAGGGCACAGCCAGGCAGCAGATAGTTTGTTTACCCTGGAGGATCATATGCTCGACTGGACCACGGAGATGAACCTATTGAAACATTGATGCCTGTGTTTCATTGAGGTATTCCACATGCACGGTTTAAACCTCACAACCTGCCTAAGTTTCTGCTCTGTGGCTAACCTACTGTGTGGAAGTGTGGGCTACTCTATGGCTGACCCTGTGCTGCTTCCAGCCTATAATGTGTGCATGTGCGATGGGAATTAAGAATAGCCTAGCATAAGACAGCAAAGATACATTTTCATTTCACAATGGACAATAAAGCGACGCTCCATGATAACTCCTTCTCAACATAATGAATTCATTGTCAGGTTTTTTGTCCTCTGTACTCCCATGGAGGGCGTCCCTCAAGTGCCACTTCAGTTTAAGAACAGCAAGAGAAAGGAACTATCTCTTTCTGTGTTGTTAAGTGGAAGTGCTTCACAGCTATTTACCCATATTTGATGGTGAAGGTGAAACAACTGACTATTCTGAGGATAAATCCTTCTCTGTAGGTCTCACAGTATGCATGGCTCTGGAACGGAAATGCACCAAAATGTGAATACTGGTACGAATGTAAATATTAAAGTATGTAAATGCAGGTCACAGTGTTAAATAGCTACTGAGGTGAGTCATGTCAACAACATCTCCATCTGACTAGGAGAGCCAGGGTTGGAGGAGCGGGAGCTGTGTGTGTGTGTGTGTGTGTGTTTGTGTGTATGTCTGTGCTGTCAGAAGCAGACAGAACCCCCCCTACTCCTTCTCCTCCTCCTCCAGTGCCATTTACAAGCCTGTCCTATTCTGAGCTACGATTACACACTGCCTCTTCATAGATTATGGAGAATGCCCAGGACATAGCCCAGGACATAGCCCAGGACATAGCCCAGAACATAGCCCAGGACATAGCCCAGGACATAGCCCAAGACATAGCCCAGGACATAGCCCAGGACATAGCCCAGAACATAGCCCAGGACATAGCCCAGGACATAGCCCAGGACATAGCCCAGGACATAGCTCAGGACATAGCCCAGGACATAGCCCAGGACATAGCCCAGGACATAGCCCAGGACATAGCCCAGGACATAGCTCAGGACATAGCCCAGGACATAGCCCAGAACATAGCCCAGGACATAGCCCAGAACATAGCCCAGGACATAGCCCAGGACATAGCCCAGAACATAGCCCAGGACATAGCCCAGGACATAGCCCAGGACATAGCCCAGGACATAGCCCAGCTGGGTACAATTTAGCAGCACAACATACACACACACACACTTATGCAACCACTCTACCATGTCATCGTATTGTCACTGCTGTGTTCACCTATGCCTCTCCAGAGGAATCATTAGTGTTTTGTTATTGGTAAATATTGGAGATTTTGTCACCTGATTGCATTTCCCTGCTGCCTCTCAAAATCCCCTGAAGGTGGACACTATGCATGATAATAAGGTGGGTTGATCATGTACAGTACAGTACATCACAGGCGGCTGGTGGTACCTTAATTATGGAGGACAGGCTCATTGTAATTGCTGGAATGGAATGAATGGGATGGTATCAAACACATCAAACACGTGGTTTCCATGAGTTTGATACCATTCCATTTACTCCATCCAAGCCATTTATGAGCCTTCCTCCTCTCACCAGCCTCTTGTGCAGTACATGTCCAGTATGTATGATGGATGATGTACACATTCCTACTGTATATAGTTACTATTCCACTACAGCAGATGGCGCTAATAATCATATAGCTTGTTCCTGCTTCACCGTTACGTGACCGGATATGCGATTTCCAAAACATTGGTGGGATGTGCAGGCTAATATAATGAGGCTCCGAATAACTCCTAATTTATGGATATATGGTTGTTATTTGCTTACAACTGATGATATGCAAGTATACCGAAAGCAGTTTTAGTTAGCAAACAAGTTAAATGTATTTTCTTACCGAATCGTTCTTGCAGAATATTTCCATGTTGTCTAACGTTAGCTAGCAAGCTAGCATTCAAGCTGTCATTGTCTGGCTGACTGAGCAACATTATTACTGACAACAACTCACCTTGGCGACGGTGATAAGTACACGGAGGGAGATGGCTGGTCAACTACTTGAGTTTGAGACGGAGATGTTCCTGAGTTTGTTCGGCTCGGACGGGCTGCTGGTGACTGCGGAGGGCATGGGGATAGACCGCATCCTGCTGCAGTTCATGCGGGTGTACTCCGAGGAGGGGAGTCTGGTGCTGCTGCTGAACACTACCACGCCTGAGCAGGTGGGTGAATGATAGCGGGGCTAGGGGAATGATAGTGGGGCTAGGGGAATGAATGATCAGGGGCCCAGTTCGGGGGGGGGGGGAACGATCATAGGCGGCTATTTATCATCACCTGCTTGACTTTCAAGCTTGCATCAGGAGGGCTTCAGCTATGATGGACCCCCCTTGGTTGCAGACCTTGCATTAATCAAACTCTAGGTGAAGTTTGTATACATGTCTTTCTATGTAGAAAGTTTGTAACAGTAACCAATAACCCATGTTCCTATGTGTGCTCCTATTTCCTCTCCTAGGAGTTCTTCACAGAGCAGCTGCGAGCTGAGGGAGTGAGCCACCTGCCCCAGACGGTGACCAGTGATGTACAGAGTACAGAGCGCTACAAAGTTTACACACAGGGAGGGGTCCTGTTCGTCACCAGCCGTATCCTAGTGGTGGACTTCCTCACTGACAGGATACCTGCACACCTCATCTCGGGTCAGTATATAGCATAGGCTAAACTAGAGTTTTCACATACCAGTTATGTTATATTAGTGCGGATAATGGTACCAAACACTTCTGGATACAAATCAGACTGGGATGTCTGAAAACAATGCCCTAAGATGTAGCTGCTCAAAAGGACACTCATATTGCTCTCTCTGTCAAAGCATTATCCTTTCTCTCTGCTGCTTCACTTCATTTATTTACCTTGTTTACATCGACCCACAACTTTCTCTGTTTTTCCCCAGGTATACTGGTGTACCGGGCCCATAAGATAATTGAGTCTTGCCAGGAGGCCTTCATCTTGAGACTGTTCAGACAGAAGAATAAGACAGGCTTCATCAAGGCCTTCACAGACAAGGCCACCTCCTTCTCCTCTGGCTTCTGTCAGGTGGAGAGAGTCATGAGGAACCTCTTTGTCAAGAAACTCTTCCTCTGGCCCAGGTGGGTGGGGGAGCCCTTTTTTTTTTTTTTTTTTTTTTTTTTTTACTCCTTTGTGTGGTAACTACTTGGAGCATTGCTGATGGATAGTTCTCTCTCTCTCTTCTCTCTCACTCTGCTCCCACATCTCTCTCTTTTTCTCTCTCTGCCCCCCCCCCCCCCCCCCCCCCCCCCCCTCTCAGGTTCCAGGCGTCAGTGAACTCGGTTTTGGACAGACACAAGCCAGAGGTGGTGGAGCTGCATGTGTCTCTGACCCCGGCCATGAGGGCCATCCAGAGCTCTGTCCTGGACATCATGAACGCCTGTCTGAAGGAGCTGAAGCGCTACAACCCCACACTGGAGGCAGAGGACCTCTCCCTGGAGAATACCCTTGGGAATGCCTTCGAAAAGGTCAGACTTGTTAGTTACATAGGAATTAAGCATCAATACCCACTGGAATAAAATAACTACAATTTCATGCAGTTCAGCAATAACCATTTGCATACATAACACAACTCAGTGTGAATGTACATGTAGTGTTCTTCATATTAGCCTTAGTGATATAAAAATACGACTGCACACTGCTTGTCTCCAGACTTTACATCAAGGCATACACTGTACTCTGTTGACCACTTACAGACTTCCTCTCATATTCCTGTTTGTTGTGCCTGTTTGACCCCCAGACAATCCGTCACTACCTGGACCCTCTGTGGCACCAGCTGGGAGCCAAGACCAAGTCTCTGGTTCAGGACCTGAAGATCCTACGTACTCTGCTGCTCTACCTTACCCAGTACGACTGTGTCACCTTCCTCAACCTCCTTGAGTCACTCCGCTCCAGCCAGAAAAACTTTGGAAGCAACTCTGGTAAGAAGTTGGAAGAACTGTCCTTGGAGAGTGAGATAATATGAAAAGCTATCATATGAAGGTCTCTGTGTTTCCCCTACCATTATGTTGGTAGCCCTAGATGCTGATTCAGGGAGAAACATGTCACTTGACTGTGGTTCATTTCAACAGGGTGGTTGTTCCTGGACTCCAGCACCTCCATGTTTGTTAACGCCAGGAGTCGGGTGTACCGCATTCCTGAGTCCAAGAAGAAACTCAAGGTGGGAGCTGACACAGAGAAACAACAAAGCACTTCAGGTAACTAACTGCTCTCACAACATACATTCAAGCACAATCTCTATGACTATATTATATGTAATTCTGTTTTTTTCAGAGAAAGAGCTTCATAAGCATTTCGCTACACCCTGCCATAAAATCTGCAAAAAATGTGTACTCAAACAATAACTTTTGATTTGATTCTTTCTGGAGCTGAAGAAAATGACCTTTTACCTGCTTTTGTATGTCTGCCCCAGAGGTGAAGAAGATGCTGGTGCTGGAGAAGAACCCAAAGTGGGAGGCTCTGACAGAGGTGCTGCAGGAGATAGAGAAGGAGAACAAGAGCTCTGAACTCGAACCAGGTCTGCCACTAGCAGATTACAATCTACACAATCTAGATAAAGTATTGTATATGGACACAGAAAGCGTAACATATTACTACCAAAGCCCAGACATGCATTGGTAAACTGTTCAGTCCTAGGTGGTGAGTCACTATTCTTTGTCTGATTCCCCAGGCCGCATTTTGATCTGTGCCAGTGATGACAGAACCTGTGCTCAGCTTCATGAGTACATCAGTCGCGGCTCAGACTCCCTACTCAACAGACTCTACGCTCGCACCATCGGCAAAAGAGATGCCCTGTTCGACCCAGACGCACACAAACAACAGGGCCAGGGTCGGTCCAGGAAACAACAGCCTGAGAAAGGGACCAAAGGGAAGGCGGCAGCCAAGCCAAACTCAAAGAGTAAAAAGAGGCCGTCTCTGACCCTGACTCAAATGGTTGGCAACGGAGAGGGGGATGAGGGAGGAGGGATGGGCAGCAGTGGGGATGAGGGAGGCCTGTTGGAAAAGGATGAGGAGGAGGACCTGAAGTTAGACTTGTCGTCTGATGCCTACTACGGTGTTCTGAAAGAGCCATTGACTGTTATCCACCCTTTGAGGGGTTGCACTGACCCCTACAGTCTGACGCGGGTACTGCATGAGGTGGAGCCCAGTTTCGTGGTGCTTTATGACGCCGAGCTCAGCTTTGTTCGTCAGCTGGAGGTTTACAAAGCCTCCAGACCGGGGAAACCACTGAGGTAATCAAACAAAACCTTTATCCCCTTATTCATTTTACACAGATCTTGTGAATTACATGTTGTTTTTTTCCCAGATGAAGTCACTCATGACGCATTTCCTCCTCCTCTTAGGGTGTACTTCCTGATCTATGGCGGCTCCACAGAGGAGCAGAGGTATCTGACTGGTCTGGCTAAAGAGAAACAAGCCTTCGAACACCTCATCAGGTCAGACAGCTGCTACATTATATTATGATCATCCTACAGTTTCCATACCATGTGTTAGTTTGTGAGTTGTGCTGACTGACTGGGTGTCTGTGTGTGTGATTGCAGGGAGAAGGCAACTATGGTGGTTCCTGAGGAGAGAGAGGGAAGAGAAGACACCAACCTGGATCTGAGCAGGAGTCAGGAGCCTGCTTACTCTACCACCAACACACGCAAAGCAGGTAAATGATGTGATAACATTTTATCTGATTCTTACAATCCACATCATCTACCTCAGTCTGATTGGTTGATGTAATTTAATGTCATGTCTCTCCAATCAGGGGGCCAGGAGCAGCCCAAGGAGCCGTCCCGTGTGATTGTGGACATGCGTGAGTTCCGCAGCGAGCTCCCATCCCTCCTCCACCGCCGCGGCCTGGACATCGAGCCTGTCACCCTGGAGGTGGGTGATTACATCCTCACTGCCGACACCTGCGTGGAGCGCAAGAGTGTCAGTGACCTGATTGGCTCGCTGCAGAGTGGCCGCCTCTACACCCAGTGTCTGTCCATGACGCGGTACTACCGGAAGCCCGTCCTGCTGATTGAATTTGACTCGGCCAAGCCCTTTTCCCTGGTGGCCCGCACCGACTTCCGCCAGGAGATCTCAGCTAATGACGTCACCTCCAAGCTGACCCTCCTCACCCTGCACTTCCCCCGCCTCAGGATCCTTTGGTGCCCCTCCCCACACGCCACAGCAGAACTCTTCCAGGAGCTGAAGAAAGGTCGACCCGAGCCGGACGCCGCCGCTGCCCTGGCCGTTACGGCCGAGTCGGACACGGTGGCGGAGTCAGCTGACCTCTACAACCCTGGGCCATACGACTTCCTGCTTCGGATGCCAGGGGTTAATGCTAAGAACTACAGGGCTCTGGTTAAACACGCAGATAGCCTGGCACACCTAGCCAAACTGAGCCAGGAGAGGCTAGCACAGGTTCTGGGGCATGCTGGCAATGGGAAGTTGCTCTATGAGTTCATGCATAATACTGTGGACGTCCCTGCCCCTGCACAGAAGAGTAAATAGTCATACACTTAAAAGGAACAGAGGCGGATTATGTAATATCAGCTATGCTCAGGTTGAACTATTAGAAAGACTATGGAAGGATCTGTGCCTTATGTGTGGACTGAACTCAATTGTATTGTCATTGTACGTGTTTGTGAATTTTCTATTTTTGTCATCTAACTTTGACTTTGTAAGTCTTTGAATATGTAAATGTAGGTTTTGCTTAAATGAGCTGAATTATTTTTGATACTTGCAGTACTGCAGTGGAAAACTGCTGATACAGAGAAGTCAGTAAGCAGAATTTTTTTAAAATCAGGAATGTCAAACACCTGGCATGCGGGTGGTTAGATTTTTAAAAAAATGTGGAGGGAATGAAGTCAATATACTTTAAAATGACTAAAACCAAATTGAAACTGGAGCATCCAAAATTCCAAACACGGTGGATAGAGGACCATTTTTTGCACAGTTTGACGGCGAGGAAATATAACACATTTTCAGTGCGGCCCTCCGGACCTCATTGAAGATCGAATGCGGTCCCCGGGGCAACATTTGTTTGACACTCCTGTTTTAGATCAAATCAAAGTTTATTTGTTGTGTTTACAGGATACAACAGGTATAAAAACTGTCCAGGGAAATGCTTGGTTACAAGCTCTTCCTCAACAATGCAGTGTTCAAATACTAGGTTTTATTATGATGAATGAATTGTCTGATAATGTTGGTAATGAAACATGTTTATACTGTTTGTCAAAACTAGACTAGTAACATTGGCTCTAGATAAGGACTCATCGTTTGGTCTTATCTCTTGCAAAATAAACTTGCCAGAAAGTGCTTTATGATTTTGAATTCTTTGTTTGCTCAGAGCTATAGGCTATAATAGCTGCCAACGATAAAAGTATTTCTTTATACACTTGTATGTATGACTATGGCTTTGGAGTGTAGAATGATTTGCCTTCTAAATTGAAGACTCGAGCGCCCCCTGTGTCTTGAATGCAAGTGAGGTAACGCAAAGCTTCCATTTGACGTCAATAAATTCATCCGAACATAACAGCAGGAGCCATTTTATTCCGTGAATGAAAACTTCGATCTAAAAAACACAAGACATTCTTCTCGACATCAATTGCAGTGTGTCGTTGAACCGAATGATAAACCTTTTCATACGGCATGGCGAATGAGTTGGGTAAGATCTTTGAACTGGGTAGAGCTGTCTTGTTTTTAACGTGCGAGCAGAACTAGCAGCATGGCTAGTAGCAGAGTAATGAGTGCAGAGGTTGTTGATGTAGTCATGCCATGCAGAATACAGCGAGCTAACTAGCGCGAGTGGTGAAAGCCACAGTAGACAATGTTTAAACTGATTTAAATTACAAGATGACAACATTGTTCCGTGTCTTGTCTTTCAACCCCCCCCCCCCCCCCCCCCCCGTTTAATCGGTTTGCATGCTATCTTGCCTGTCTGATAACCACGCTGTTTCTCTGTTATGCTAGCTAGATAACGTTAACTTCTCACAAATGAAAACCAATGTCTTGCAGTTAACTGTAGTGCCAACTCATTAATCAGTTAGCCTACCAGTAACAACTAGTGAACTGAACTCAATGTGTTTTGTGCATAACATTCCTGTGTTGTGGCATTACTGGGAGGTCGAGACGTGTTACAATGTAGCAGCTAGCAAGCCAACTCTTTGATTCCCAGCCCCATTTGCTTCATTATCAGTAAGGATATCTGTTACTTACAGGGCTGCCACATTTTTTGTCAACTGTAAGCACTGTGAATGCTTGACTCTGCACACATAGACAGAGGTAACTCGGTGAGGTCAACTAAGGTCTCAGTCATAAATGGGTGAGTGAGGATGAGCCAGCCCCTTGGGATAACTAACACCACAGAGACATCCAAAGAGAGAGACTGGCAGATCAAAGAAGTTAAAGATGAAAGTGAGGCTGAGAGTGATGTGGTGCTGCCTGCAACACATCACAGGTCACTGGATGATGACACACGTGTCACCTGACAACAGTCTTGCTTGAAATGGGATAAGGTACATTTGAGACTTTGCATTAGACTTATTCAGAGCCACATATGTGTCTGCCTTATGAAGCTAACAGATGGTGAGGAAAACAATAGTGAATTGTTCTGGCATACTATGTTGTGATTATAATCTGTTTTGCCAAACTTTTTACTTCTTTCCACCAATGTTGGCAGGTTTTTAAAGCTCCTCTCCTCATCCTAGCAATGTGTCTTGTCTGGTGGTTCAGTGGTTGCCAGATTTTGATTTCTTTGCGCAGGAAAAACATAACCTATCATCAGGTTCTAACCTTCACACCAGAGTAACCTGAACCATCCACCCCATTTAAACCTCCTCTTATTATGTCTCACTGAACTGTAACCTGTAACCTTCGGTCTATATATGAATAGATGCCTTCTCCTCTTGGGTTCTGCCTTCTATTTTCTCTGTTTTTGTGATATGGCCTCATGGGTCACAGATTAGGCTAGGTTTGTTGTGCCTGTCGCTCTCTAGAAGGCAGTAGAAGAGTCACAGTCAACTGCCACGTTCCAAGCAATAACTTGTTTGCTCTAAACAAAATTCCTTCAAGCAGTAGGCGGGACGGAAGTGTGCGTTGGTTTTGTATTTACATTCAACATTTTACTTATTTAGCAGATGCTCTTATCCAGAGCTCTTGTCCCCGGTGGGAGTCGAACCCACAACCCTGGAGTTGCAAGCGCCATGCTCAACCAACTAAGCTACACGGGACCTTTTATCTTCTCTATATTGATTTGGGGGGGATGGAAGCAGTTGCCCTGTCTGGACAGCTGGCTGAGGGGATAGAGCAGACTTCCACTGTAGTGAATTCTATGCAGTGGTGGAAAAAGTACTGTTGATGATCACAAGTTTACTGGAGAACGGAGACCAAGTAGAGACTTTCGGACAAGGTGGATAATTGTATAATATAAGGCAGTTTATTCAGAGGTAAAGATATCTGTAAATAGCGTGCACGGACCCGTTCGTCAATCTCGTAGGGAGATATCTGAGAGAGCCCCTAAACATTGTGTGCTGACATTTTATACAATAAAATGAAGTAGGTTGATTCTAGTAGTTCTGATCTTCTGATTGGTCCTGATGAGTTGGGCGAGGTCACCTCCAGGCTAGTGTCACTGTTGCATTGGCTCTGAGTCGGGTTCTCTGTCTTCAGATGTTCAGCCTAAGAGAAGAGGATTTGTGTGTGTGTGTGTGTGTGTGTATGTGTGTGTATGTGTGTGTGTGTGTATGTGTGTGTTTAACAGTGGTGTGTGTGTGTGTGTGTGTTTATCAGTGGTGTGTGTGTGTGTGTGTGTGTGTGTGTGTGTGTGTGTTTATCAGTGATGATGTGTGTGTGTGTGTGTGTGTGTGTGTGTGTGTGTGTCCTCAGAGCAAGAACTCGTGAGTTGGAAGAACTGAGAGACCTATGGCGTGGGTGTTGTCCATAGCCACCTGCTGATAAGGCTGACAAGATAGAAGTCTTTTGTGCATTGTATTAAATACAAAGGCCCAACACAAGATGGGTCATGCACAAGATTTTAGTCAGACCAAGCTATAACATTATATATTTACTACGACAGTACCCAATTGTCATACTTGGGTACAAGTAACATTACCTTAATAGAAAATGACTCAAGTCACCCAGTAAAATACTACTTGAGTAAAAGTCTAAAAATATTTGGTTTTAAATATACTTAAGTATGCCAAGTAAATGTAATTATGTATGAAAAATGTATGCACTCACTAACTGTAAGTCGCTCTGGATAAGCGTGTCTGCTAAATGACAAAAATGTAATGTAAAATGTAATTTCTTAAGTATCAAAAGTAAAAGTGTAAAATGCCACCATTCTAGTTTTTTAAATTGATGGATAGCCCGGGGCACACTCCAACTTAATTTACAAACAAAGCATTTGTGTTTAGTGAGTCCGCCAAATCAGAGGCAGTAGGGATGACCAGGGATGTTCTCTTGATAAGTGTGTGAATTGGACCATTTTCCTATCCTGCCAAGCATTCAAAATATAACGAGTACTTTTGGGTGTCATGGAAAATGTATGGTGTAAAAAGTACATAATTTCCTTTAGGAAAGTATCGAAGTAAAAGTTCTCAGAAAGACAAATAGTAAAGTACAGATACCCCCAAAAACTATTTTTACTTAAGTACTTTACACCACTGACTCTATGGCATGAGCCATAATAACATCAGCATTGGCCTTATCTCAAGAAAAAGCTGTCATTTTTGTTGGACCAGACTTTGGGGCTATTTCAGTCTGAGAAACCACTGCAAATCTCTAGGATTGAGAATGAGGGGCAATAATGTCCACAGCACAATATACTGTGACTTGCTGCAAAGGGACTGGTTTTATATCTGACACACACACCAGGAGATGGTGTGTTTAAGTCTGCTGAGAGAGACTAGACCACCCTGACTGAACAGAGAGTAGAGGAGAAGACTGGGTGGGTATTTACCTAAACACCCTGTGAAGCATGTTATCACTGCAGTAGCCTGGAGTAGTTAACCCCTTGACAGACTGGACATGGGCTTGTGTTGTGTATATTTAGATACTTAGATGACCTATGACCTCTTCTTTGTAATGATGAGGAAGGGGCAATCCCAGACCCTGTGGTGGAATGTGTTTAGTTCATTGGTGGTCTTGATATACAGGCCAAGCTGTAATATTGTTTCTTTGATATTCTGGAGAACTATGGTTTTGTTATTTTAGGCTGTAGAGACTGCTATTATGCAATATTACAATATATTAATTGCTAAGTTATGTTTACTTGTAGGTCTATGTCGCTATCCTGCGTCTGTATGCCCCTAGTTGGTGATATGGATCTTGTATCGTTCCTTTAAGACTGCTGGGTCTCAACATTCTGTATCAGTAGGATACTACTAGGCAGGAGCAGAAGGTAATCTACAGTGAGGGAAAACAGTATTTGATCCTCTGCTGATTTTGTACGTTTGCCCACTGACAAAGAAATTATCAGTCTAACTTTAATTGGTAGGTTTATTTGAACAGTGAGAGACAGAATAACAACCAAAAAAATCCAAAAAAACTCATGTCAAAAATGTTATAAATTGATTTGCATTTTAATGAGGGAAATAAGTATTTGACCCCCTCTCAATCAGAAAGATTTCTGTCTCCCAGGTGTCTTTTTTACAGGTAACGAGCTGAAGGGACTCTTAAAGGGAGTGCTCCTAATCTCAGCTTGTTACCTGTATAAAAGACACCTGTCCACAGAAGCAATCAATCAGATTCCAAACTCTCCACCATGGCCAAGACCAAAGAGCTCTCCAAGGATGTCTGGGACAAGATTATAGACCTACACAAGGCTGGAATGGGCTACAAGACCATCGCCAAGCAGCTTGGTGAGAAGGTGACAATAGTTGGTGCGGTTATTCGCAAATGGAAGAAACACAAAATAACTGTCAATCTCCCTCGGCCTGGGGCTCCATGCAAGATCTCACCTCGTGGCGTTGCAATGATCATGAGAACGGTGAGGAATCAGCCCAGAACTACACGGGAGGATCTTGTCAATGATTCACTCACCACCTTCCGGAGACATTTGAAACCCCACCTCTTTAAGGAATACCTGGGATAGGATAAAGTAATCCTTCTACCCCCCCCTCCCCCCTTACCCCACCCAAAAAAATAAAAAAATAAACATTAAGGTGAATGAACCAATTTGTATGTCGCTCTGGATAAGAGCGTCTGCTAAATGACGTAAATGTAAGGCAGCTGGGACCAGTCACCAAGAAAACAATTGGTAACACACTACGCCGTGAAGGACTGAAATCCTGCAGCGCACGCAAGGTCCCCCTGCTCAAGAAAGCACATACAGTGGGGAGAACAAGTATTTGATACACTGCCGATTTTGCAGGTTTTCCTACTTACAAAGCATGTAGAGGTCTGTAATTTTTATCATAGGTACACTTCAACTGTGAGAGACGGAATCAAAAATCCAGAAAATCACATTGTATGATTTTTAAGTAATTAATTTGCATTTTATTGCATGACATAAGTATTTGATACATCAGAAAAGCAGAACTTAATATTTGGTACAGAAACCTTTGTTTGCAATTACAGAGATCATACGTTTCCTGTAGGTCTTGACCAGGTTTGCACACACTGCAGCAGGGATTTTGGCCCACTCCTCCATACAGACCGTCTCCAGATCCTTCAGGTTTCGGGGCTGTCGCTGGGCAATATGGACTTTCAGCTCCCTCCAGGACCTTGAGATGCTTCTTACGGAGCCACTCCTTAGTTGCCCTGGCTGTGTGTTTCGGGTCGTTGTCATGCTGGAAGACCCAGCCACGACCCATCTTCAATGCTCTTACTGAGAGAAGGAGGTTGTTGGCCAAGATCTCGCGATACATGGCCCCATCCATCCTCCCCTCAATAGGGTGCAGTCGTCCTGTCCCCTTTGCAGAAAAGCATCACCAGAGAATGATATTTCCACCTCCATGCTTCACGGTTGGGATGGTGTTCTTGGGGTTGTACTCATCCTTCTTCTTCCTCCAAACACGGCGAGTGGAGTTTAGACCAAAAAGCTCTATTTTTGTCTCATCAGACCACATGACGTTCTCCCATTCCTCCTCTGGATCATCCAGATGGTCATTGGCAAACTTCAGACGGGCCTGGACATGCGCTGGCTTGAGCAGGGGGACCTTGCGTGCGCTGCAGGATTTTAATCTATGACGGCGTAGTGTGTTACTAATGGTTTTCTTTGAGACTGTGGTCCCAGCTCTCTTCAGGTCATTGACCAGGTCCTGCCGTGTAGTTCTGGGCTGATCCCTCACCTTCCTCATGATCATTGATGCCCCACGAGGTGAGATCTTGCATGGAGCCCCAGACCGAGGGTGATTGACCGTCATCTTGAACTTCTTCCATTTTCTAATAATTGCGCCAACAGTTGTTGCCGTCTCACCAAGCTGCTTGCCTATTGTCCTGTAGCCCATCCCAGCCTTGTGCAGGTCTCAAATACTTGTGTATCAAATACTTGTTCTCCCCTCTGTATACAGGACCGTTTGAAGTTTTCCAATTAACATATGAATGATTCAGAGGAGAACTGGGTGAAAAATTTTGTGGTCAGATGAGACCGAAATCGAGCTCTTTGGTATCAACTCAACTCGCCGTGTTTGGAGGAGGAGGAAGGCTGCCTATGACCCCAAGAACACCAGCCCCACTGTCAAACATGGAGGTGGAAACATTATGCTTTGGGGTCAAATCTTGGGTGAGAACCTCCTTCACTCAGCCAGGGCATTGAAAATGGGTCGTGGATGGGTATTGCAGCATGACAATGACCCAAAACACACGGCCAAGGCAACAAAGGAGTGGCTCAAGAAGAAGAACATTAAGGTCCTGGAGTGGCCTAGCCAGTCTCCAGACATTAATCCCATAGAAAATCTGTGGAGGGAGCTGAAGGTTCGAGTTGCCAAACGTCAGCCTCAACCTCAATGACTTGGAGAAGATCTGCAAAGAGGAGTGGAACAAAATCCCTCCTGAGATGTGTGCAAACCTGGTGGCCAACTACAAGAAACGTCTGACCTCTGTGATTGCCAACAAGGGTTTTGCCAAGTCATGTTTTGCAGAGGGGTCAAATACTTATTTCCCTCATTAAAATGCAAATCAATTTATAACATTTTTGACAATGCGTTTTTCTGGATTTATTTGTTGTTATTCTGTCTCTCACTGTTCAAATAAACCTACCATTAAAATTATAGACTGATCATGTCTTTGTCAGTGGGCAAACGTACAAAATCAGCAGAGGATCAAATACTATTTTCCCTCACTGTATGTGTCATACACACCCTCATGCATTATCATGCACAGCACACTTAGACCCTTGTGGACTTTGCACCCAACAACCTTCAGTCTTATGAAAACACAAAACAACAGTATTTTAATGCTGAATCATAAACACATTTACGTACACTAGGCCTATAATCTCCAAAGCCATCTACCATTAGGCCTAGCTGGGCTCCACCTTGTCCCTTGTGTGGGTTTCACTTTGATGGACACATGGTATCTGTTGCTAATGCCTGTAGCAGAACAGAGCAGAGCTGCCTGGGCTTTGATTCTGCAGGTGGGTAGGAGCATGGTTGATATTTACCACACATTGTCTAGTCATGCATGGCATTTGTTTTCCCTCTGAAGGGACCAGGTACTTCCTTCTGTTTGAATGTAAACAAACCTGTTGACCTCGATCTTCAGTGATCGTTGTGGTCAGTCACCAACTGTGCTCCTGGAGAGCAATACGTTTTGTGCATGCTCACTGTTTTGTTCCAGCCCAACCTCCTGATTCAACGATCACCAATAACTTGATGAGTTGAATCAGGTGTTTTAGCATGACTCGCACACACACTATCTGTCCAGGGTGCATTGATTGTGGCCATTGGCAGCCCAGGACCTGAGGAGAGTGCACTAGATGCTCTGTAGCTTAGAAACTGAGTTCTGTTTTGTATCTTGTTTGAACTGGTTGGTGCTGCTGTCACAGTTTGCCCTTCAGTAAAGAGCCCCTCGTGTTGGTGAGAGCTTGTCCCGCTAATGTGTCTCCTCTCTCTCTGTCCCCCCCCCTTCCTCCTCTGGAACACCCCTTCATCCCATTGCCTCAGACTGCAACATGCTGTTGCTATAGCAACCGTCGCTTGCCGCCGCAGTCCTGGTGTTTCTTTGCAATACCTCTCTTTATGTCCCCAGATAGCGTATAGCGTTAAAGACATGCTCTGGTACTTTGGCGACTAGTAAGTATTTTTTGAACCCCTCGCTTTGGGCTGGATGTGTCAATGTGTAGCTTATGCATGCATAATCTATGAGCAGATTTACTGTGTTACCACAATTAGTCAGGAGATCCCTAGTTTGAAAGCGTCTGTTTTCTGTAAGCTGTGCTGTGCCATTTTTGTAAATTTCCCCCCACATGGGCCCAGCACCCTAGCAATTGGAGTTCCAGCCAATCCGATTCAGCCCCTCGCCATTTGAGTGACAGCTAGCAAGAATCACATACAGTAGAACGAGAGAGAAATTACATGGTGCACATAGCTGCAATTTTCAGGGACCACTTTTTGTTTGTGGGCGCTGCTTTCAGAACTACTGGCTAAAAAGTATACGAAAGTACCGGGGAATCCCTTTAACCTTTTTACTTGTGAGTTCCAAATATCTCTTAACGGTCCCCCCAGCGTGAGTTTTCTTATGCACGTGATGTCAGAATTTACTCACTGTTCCAAAATGTGATTGTTACGCAACAGGACAGTTAACCCGCTCTGCCCTCAAACCCAGGAGACACTGCCTGCTAATTATCAATAGGGTATGTTTCAACTTGTCAATTTTACATGATTTTCTAACCACAGTTTGAAATGAGGTACGTTCCACCTCATTAATTCACATAGAAGAAACCCATTTCCCTGTGGCGGACAACTTATGTTTGAGGCATGCTATGCTAATGTGGGGCGAGGATTAGCTAGATGAGCCGGACAAACTTCTCTCTTCGATGAGTCCAAGCACTCCACCAGTTTTTCCTCAGGTCAAGTATGCAGATATTTGTGCATCTCCAGTCAGAACAGAACCCGCCCATAACTTTTCAGCTGGCGCCCGCATTGCCTTCATTGTTGTTTTCCTTACTAATAATTACTGTCAAAGTAAGTGCCTTATTACCTTATCATAACACGATGTACAGAAACGGTATTATTTAATTTCTACTGTAGCACACCGTATTTATGTATGAAGCTTAATGTATTCCTTTATAACCGCGGACACACAATGTACTGATTTCATAACCTTTATGGTGTTATACTCAATTGTGCTTATGTAGTTACATTTTTCTAATAGTTCTGTAAAACAATGCTAATGCTAATGGCATCAAATAAGTATTAGCTTTTGTTGTATCCTTTGAAGCTGTCCTGGTTGTATCATGACCATTACATTGGCCTGTGTATTCATTTGGCCTGCATAGCTCTGCCCTGCCCGCTTGTGGAGCCCTTGTGGAGCTCTTCAGTTATGTTAATGGTAATATTGTTTTATTGCTATATCCTGATTATTTTCTAATTACTAATAATTCCTCTTCATTCTGTACTTTCAGAAACCACAGCGGTGTCGATCAGATGGAAAAAATGTGTTCTTATACCACTTGGTGGTTTTCCGAGTGCATGCCACAAAGCTGTTTATCATGTCCGCCTTATCCACTGCTCCATTTTGCGATTATAGTCAAGCACGCAGTCTGGTTTGCTCTTTCTCTCTCCCTCCCACCAGGTGGTCCACCTTCCCTATGGGGTTCTCTTTTCCTGTAACTCCAAGGCATAGCGAATGGTCTCCTCTGCTGTGTCTCCCACCAGCTCCTCTGTCAGAAACAGTTTGAAGCACTCTGCCTCAGAGGGAGATGGCAAGAGGCTTTGCACTCCAGACTGGGACTCATCAAAGCCAACAGCAGGGGTGAAATGACTGGAGGCCTTCCAGCTACCACAGACCTCCTGTATTTCACCCACTGAGCGACTTACAGGAGCAATTAGGGTTGAGTGCCTTGCTGAAGGGCACATCAACAGATTTTTCACCTAGTCAGCTCGGGGATTAGAACCAGCGACCTTTCGGTTACATTTACATTTACATTTTAGTCATTTAGCAGACGCTCTTAACCAGAGCGACTTACAGGAGCAATTAGGGTTAAGTGCCTTGCTCAAGGGCACATTTACGTCATTTAGCAGACGCTCTTATCCAGAGCGACTCACAAATTGGTGCATTTACCCTATAGCCAGTGGGATAACCACTTTACTGGCACAATGCTCTTAACCACTAAGCTACCTGCCGGTGGTGATGTGCCTCTATCACCACCAGCATCTTCAGAGGGACCTGGGACTTCGTCGGTGGGCAAGGGATCCTCAGATTCAGGGTTCTCAATGCCCGTAAGATTAAGGGACAACTCGTCACTGTCATACTCAGATTCATTGTCAGAATTTACAAAAGTATCCTGAATTTCTGCATTTGTGAGTCATCTCCTTTTGAAAGACATTGCTAATGCTACAGCTTAGCCCACTAGCTACATACATAAACAACAACCACTGAATGGCTCCAAGTGAGTGTCAGGGATGATGTGATTGGTTACTGGTGTGGTGAGACTGATTATTTGTCTCTGCAGATGGTTTGTTTACATAGCAGGTTAGGATAATTAACGTGGCAGGTTAGGAGAACTAACGAAGCAGGTTAGGTGAATTAACCTCATTCTCTTAACCTCCTACGTTAGGGTTATGAAAAGGGTTAGGCTTAGCAACAATGCTACAGTGGCTACAAGACACGCCCACTAGAAAGAGCTGTTGTAGGACTAGCTGCTCCATCTAGCCACAACGGTAGAGATGTAAACAAACCGTCTGTGGTGACAAATCATCAGTATCACCGGCCACTTGTATCAATAAATCACTATCAGAAAAGGGTTTGTGTGGTAATCGTTTCTTTATTTACTGTTTTATTCACGTTTTCAAGTAGTGGTGAGAAATCATTCATTCCGATTCTTGCATAGATTGTAATGGACACGTGTGTAAAATACACTAAACTAAAAATATAAACGCAACATGCAACAACTTCAAAGATTTTAATGAGTTACAGTTAATATAACGAAATCAGTCAATTGAAAATTGGGCCATAATCTATGTATTTCACATGACTGGGAATACAGATATGCATCTGTTGGTCACAGATACCTTTAAAAAAAGTTATGGGCGTGGATCAGAAATCCAGTCCGTATCTGATGTGAACACCATGTGCCTCATGCAGCGCGACACATCTCCTTCGCATAGAGTTGATCAGGCTGTTCATTGTGGCCTGTGGAATGTTTTCCCATTAATCCGCCATGGAGCCGTGCATTATCATGCTGAAACATGAGGTGATGGCGGATTAATGGCATGACAATGGGCCTAACGGTATCTCAGTGCATTCAAATTGCCATCAATAAAATGCAATTGTGTTCGTTGTCCGTAACTTTTGCCTGCCCATACCGTAACCCCACCACTACCATGGGGCTCACTGTTCACAACGTTGACATCAGCGAACCATTCGCCCACACGACGCCAAACACGCTGTCTGCCATCTGCCTGGTACAGTTGAAACCGGGATTAATCTGTGACGAGCACACTTCTCCAGCGTGCCAGTGGCCATCGAAGGTGAGCATTTGCCAACTGAAGTCGGTTACGATGCCGAACTGTAGTCAGGTCAAGACCCTGGTGAGGACGACGAGCACGCAGATGAGCTTCCCTGAGATGGTTTCTTCAGTTTTGCAAACCCACAGTTTCATCAGCTGTCCGGGTGGCTGGTCTCAGACGATCCTGCAGGTGAAGAAACCGGATGTGGAGGTCCTGGCTGGCGTGGTTACACGTGGTCTGTGAGGCCGGTTGGACGTACTGCCAAATTTTCTAAAATGACGGCGGCGGCTTATGGTAGAGAAATTAACATTCAATTATCTGGCAACAGCTCATTACATTTTAGTCATTTAACCAATTGCACGCTCCCTCAACTTGAGACATCTGTGGCGTTGTGTGACAAAACTGCACATTTTAGTGGCCTTTTGTCCCCAGCACAAGGTGCACCTGTGTAATGACGATGCTGTTTAACCAGCTTCTTGATATGCCACACCTGTCAGGTGGATGGATTATCTTGGCAAAGGAGAAATGTTCACTAACAGGGAAGTAAGCAAATTTGTGCACAACATTTAAGAGAAATAAGCTTTTGGTGCGTATGGAACATTTCTGTGAACTTTTATTTCAGTTCATGAAACATGGGACCAACACTTTACATGTTACGTCTATATTTTTGTTCATTGTACTTTTTTGAAGGTTGTATGATTATGATGAGCTAATGCTAAGCTATTTTCTGACTGTGTGGAGCCATGGTTGTTGACATCATTCAATGCATTCTGGCTGTCACGTAAATGTCTGTCAGACAAAATATATTCATAGCAAAACGAGGTGAAGGGAAGGTTCACTCGTCTTTCAAGTAAACTTCCGGAAGTGAATGATGGTAAGTGAATGATGGTAGACGACACACCCCCTTCGCCTTCAACATGCATACTGCAAACCGACCCAACTCATCTTGTCACCTCATATGTTTAGTTGTCGCAGAAAAACAAACATGGCGGCGCGCACAAACTCTACCCACCGTGGGATTACTTAAGACTTTTAGAAAGTGTTTTACTCAATTATTTAAATCACTGGTGAGCTCATCCGTGATGTGATGAATTGTAAATAGTAATTGCTATTAGCTAATTCATATTATGGTTTCTATCAGCTGATAGTTGGCTAAATATGACCGCTTGTGTTAGCTCGCTCTTTACTCAGTTAGCACTAGGACTATTGTAGCCTACATTTTCAGATTTGGATGAGAATTGTGTTATGCTACTTCTGTGACTGTCTGAACATTGCATCCAAAAAAAACTGCTCACATTGACTGTTGCGTCTATTGTAACTACACGTTCTAATGAAGTGTTCTAATCACACCGGTTTGAGCCTACACTGCAGGGACCACTGTGTTTTCATATGCGTTATTAATGATTTTCTGATTTGCTACAAATCTTACAAAGGTTGGTGGTCAAGATCTTCGACATTCAGATTTTCACAAAAGGCTTTCTTAGTTCTGATAGAGCATTAATTGTAGTTTGTAGCAGAATGTAATTTTAAATGGTCACGGTCTTTTCTTCCCAGGTCTGTCTCCATGGTTAGTGTGCTGTAGCAGCTGGACCCAGACAGAAGTCTCTCTTCCTCTCCTCCTTCACCCCTTCTTCCAGCGGTGGTAAGGAATGGCATTATGAGATAACGTTGCCATAATGAATGGAACTAAATCCACATTGTGACTTAGCATTTTTTTTAATTAGACTCCTATTCGGCTATATAAACACCTTTAGCCGAACTGGGTCTGTATAACATTCAGTTGTCTAGTAACAGGTAGACCTTTTACTAATAAAATAAACAACCCATGGTAGAAAATTACCCTACTCCATTCCAACAGAAAGATTAGGCTACATCAACCTACATGAGTTAGTTCCAATAATATTAAGCCTAAGTCTGATATTAAGGGCCAACTACTTAAATCTGGAAGATGCGTTCGTTTTCATCCCCATGTGTTTCATGGACTCTGGTGTCGTACTAAAAGAAACAGAAGGAGTTAAGGTCAAATTTAGGAGCTGAATCTGAGACTCAACAGTCTCTTTTGAAATGTCCTCCTTTAGAAACTCAGAACCAGCTGTGGCGGGCTGCACTCCCTTCACTAGGGCACAACACTGTGGAACGTTCAGTATTTGATCCCCTGCTGATTTTGTACGTTTGCCCACTGACAAAGACATGATCAGTCTATAATTTTAATGGTAGGTTTATTTGAACAGTGAGAGACAGAATAACAACGAATAAATCCAGAAAAACGCATTGTCAAAAATGTTGTAAATTGATTTGCATTTTAATGAGGGAAATAAGTATTTGACCCCTCTGCAAAACATGACTTAGTACTTGGTGGCAAAACCCTTGTTGGCAATCACAGAGGTCAGACGTTTCTTGTAGTTGGCCACCATGTTTGCACACATCTCAGGAGGGATTTTGTCCCACTCCTCTTTGCAGTTCTTCTCCAAGTCATTAAGGTTGAGGCTGACGTTTGGCAACTCGAACCTTCAGCTCCCTCCACAGATTTCCTATGGGATTAAGGTCTGGAGACTGGCTAGGCCACTCCAGGACCTTAATGTGCTTCTTCTTGAGCCACTCCTTTGTTGCTTTGGCCGTGTGTTTTTGGTCATTGTCATGCTGGAATACCCATCCACAACCCATTTTCAATGCCCTGGCTGAGGGAAGGAGGTTCTCACCCAAGATTTGACAGTACATGGCCCCGTCCATCGTCCCTTTGATGCGGTGAAGTTGTCCTGTCCCCTTAGCAGAAAAACACCCCCAAAGCATAATGTTTCCACCTCCATGTTTGACGGTGGGGATGGTGTTCTTGGGGTAATAGGCAGCATTCCTCCTCCAAACACGGCGAGTTGAGTTGATGCCAAAGAGCTCGATTTTGGTCTCATCTGACCACAACACTTTCACCCAGTTCTCCTCTGAATCATTCAGATGTTCATTGGCAAACTTCAGATGGGCCTGAATATGTGCTTTCTTGAGCAGGGGGACCTTGCAGGATTTCAGTCCTTCACGGCGTAGTGTGTGACCAATTTGTTTTCTTGGTGGCTATGGTCCCAGCTGCCTTGAGATCCTTGACAAGATCCTCCCGTGTAGTTCTGGGCTGATTCCTCACCGTTCTCATGATCATTGCAACTCCACGAGGTGAGATCTTGCATGGAGCCCCAGGCCGAGGGAGATTGACAATTATTTTGTGTTTCTTCCATTTGCGAATAATCACACCAACTGTTGTCACCTTCTCACCAGCTGCTTGGCGATGGTCTTGTAGCCCATTCCAGCCTTGTGTAGGTCTACAACCTTATCCCTGATATCCTTGGAGAGCTCTTTGGTCTTGGCCATGGTGGAGAGTTTGGAATCTGATTGATTGATTGCTTCTGTGGACAGGTGTCTTTTATACAGGTAACAAGCTGAGATTAGGAGCACTCCTTTTAAGAGTGTGCTCCTAATCTCAGCTCGTTACCTGTATAAAAGTCACCTGGGAGACAGAAATCTTTCTGATTGAGAGGGGATCAAATACTTTTTTCCCTCACTGTATATTGTGTAGAACAGACTAGGGCTGTTGCAGTGACTGTATTACCGCCACACCATCAGTCATGAAAGCAGTAAAATTCCATGTGACCGTTGAGTCACTGTACACTCCTCTTATGCACTCTGGACATGCGTTGGTAGTAGCCAACTTGCTAACGACCATCAGGTTGCTAATGGCCTGGTACTCCGGGCTCTATTGTCCCTCTAACCACTCTGACATCAATGTAAATGCAATCGAAAATCACGTCAAACACTTATCAGCAAAACAAGATCATGCTTTTAAAACTCACCTCACTGTGATTGATCAATTTGAAGAAGTTCAACAACAGGTTGAAACTGAGTGGAAAACATGGTCGTTGTGGATGTTGTTTCAAAGCCTAACACAATGAAATGGGCCGTGCTTTCTAAGGTGATGATTCATTCAAAACAGCCATATGCATTATCTCTAATACGCATAGGCCTATACAGTGCATTCGGAAAGTATTCAGACCCCTTGACTTTTTCCACATTTTGTTATGTAACAGCCTTATTCTAAAATGGATTAAATTGTATTCCTCATCAATCGACACACAATACACCATAATGACAAAACGAAAAAAGGGTTTTAGAAGTGTTTGCTCATTTATTACAAATAAAAAACAGATACCTTATTTACATACCTAAAGGGGTCCTAAAATTCTAAATTAAATAGCTAAATGATCCATGGTATGACCATCTTAAAAAATTGTCTTTTGCATTTATTTATTTTATTTTACCTTTATTTAACTAGGCAAGTCAGTTAAGAACAAATTCTTCTTTACAATGACGGCCTACACCGGCCAAACCTGTACGATGCTGGGCCAATTGTTCCCCGCCCTATGGGACTCCCAATCACGGCCGGTTGTGATACAGCCTGGAATCGAACCAGGTGGTCTGTAGTGACGCCTCAAACACTGAGATGCCTTAGACCGCTGCGCCACTCGGGAGCCCAGAGTGCATGACTGCCACAACCCTAGAGCAGACACAACTTAGGAAAGGAGTAAGGGATCATGTCATGTGGAGTTAGGGATCATGTCAGCTCTATTCATGAAATCTCTAATTCAGAACCTTGCACCCTCTTCAGCACGACCCTAATATCACAGTCTGTCTCCAGCCCATCTTTCCTCCACTAGACAGACTGACTTTATTGTTCTAACCTGGGTCCAGTCTCCAGTGACATAACACCTTGAATACCCAGAGCCTCAGGATACATTTGAACTGTTATATTTTAACTGGCTCATGTGGTGGGTTCAACTACCTCTCACAGTTTGGCTGAGGAGAGGTGGAAGGTGAGTGCTGACTGACCAGATTATATAAATTGCTGCTCTTGCCTCTTGAAATATGAGTATGTGTGTATTAGATGTACTTGTGGGGACTCTTTGGTCAGCGCATATGATCTGAAATAAAGATGGCTGTAGATTGACGGTCATGTAAACCAATGGATAAGGCATAGAGTGATTGATAGCTGCTTGGTTACTCATCGAAGTCTGTAGTATCTAGTGTCACCACTGTCACCAGTTTTTCTTCTGGGAAAATAAAACATAACAGCAGATACTGATAATGGTTATTTGTCTCTTGAGGCACACTAAAATCAGACTTGTCTTCTGTATCTGTACACACAAACTCTTGTGTGTGTGGGTGAGACTGCTTGGTCTCTTTGCAACAGTGGCCATTTTAAGGAGTGGCTGCGATCAAGTCACTGTATTCTGGACCATGTAAGATAATGTTTATTATGCAACAGATGTAAACAATTAAGTTATTCAATTATTGAAACGATTGGGCTATAGCAATGGAATGGCAACTGTAATGGAACGAAAAGAGATGTTTCTATGTAGAGAATCAACAAGCCTTAAGGGATTCACAGAAAATCCCTGATATGGTCTGAAGTATTGTATTTTGAAGTTGTTTACAAAAGTTATGAAGTGTGTGAGTCTATGTAGAGCCATGTACCCAACTGTACCTAGACACGTGTAAAATCTTTGTCCTTTAAGTTGGTACATTGGTTGGAATGTTGGTGCTGTTTCTGAGTCCAGAGGCGAGGCAAAGTAAGAACGTAGCTGCATGGTGCCATGCCAATACCCACATGTCAGGATTGTGCCACTTAGCCCTAGATGGATGTGGTTTGAATGGCTGAAGGGAGCTGATTGTGGGACCCGGAGCCATCCATCATAAACCGGTTATTAGGAACTATAGTTACCAAACTGCTTGTTTTGCTCCCTTAACACTAGAACCGCCTGGCCTTTCAGCCTATAAGTACCCACTAGAGAACGTTGCCGGGCGTCCCATTTAGCATATGCATCAGATCAGTGGTGTAAAGTACTTAAGGAAAAATACTTTAAAGTACTAATTAAGTAGTTTTTTGGGGTATCTGTACTTTACTGTTTATATTTTTGACTACTTTTACTTCATTACATTCCTAACTAAAATGATGTACTTTTTACTCAATACATTTTCCCTGACACCCAAAAGTACTCGTTACATTTTGAATGCTTAGCAGGACAGGAAAATGGTCAAATTCATGCACTTATCAAGAGAGCATCCCTGGTCATCCCTACTGCCTCTGATCTGGCGGACTCACTAAACACATGCTTCGTTTGTCAATCATTCTGAGTGTCGGAGTGTGCCCCTGGCTATCCTAAATTAAAAAAAAACAAGGAAATGGTGCCGTCAGGTTTGCTTAATATAAGGACTTTGAAATTATTTATACTTTTACTTTAAGTATATTTGAGCAATAACATTGACATTTTAAACCAAATACTTTTAGACTTTTACTCAAGTAGTATTTTACTGGGTGACTTTCACTTTAACTTGAGTCATTGTTCAAGTATGAAAAATTGGTACTTTTACCACCACTGCATCAGATGCATATCAACCCGCAAGGTGCGCAAACATAAGCACCAACGCTTATGAAAGGATTAATTGCATGAAGAAATATTTGTGCAAATATATCAATTTAAAATAGTCAAGGATATGTTTTGTATAATTTTACAAAGTCCTAGAAAAAATGTAGGCCTATACCCTATTTTCGTTTCCCTTACAGTAAAAACATTACAGTGTAATACATTTGATCAACTTTATTTGTAGATTTGATTAGTAATAGTTATAATAATTAATAAAGTCCATTTACAGCTTATTTTGACAAATTATAAAGGGAAAAGATGATGATGATGATGATGATATAACCAGCCAGGTGCACAGATGAAATTATTTGCCATATTCCAAAACAAAAGCAACAGTGCATGAACAATTGTAAAGGATGAATTGTATAAATAAATATTAGTGGATATATATATATATATATATATATATATATATATATATATATATATATATATATATATATATATATATATATATATATATACACACACAGTGGGGGAAAAAAAGTATTTAGTCAGCCACCAATTGTGCAAGTTCTCCCACTTAAAAAGATGAGAGAGGCCTGTAATTTTCATCATAGGTACACGTCAACTATGACAGACAAAATGAGGAAAACAAAATCCAGAAAATCACATTGTAGGATTTTTAATGAATTTATTTGCAAATTATGGTGGAAAATAAGTATTTGGTCAATAACAAAAGTTTCTCAATACTTTGTTATATACCCTTTGTTGGCAATGACACAGGTCAAACGTTTTCTGTAAGTCTTCACAAGGTTTTCACACACTGTTGCTGGTATTTTGGCCCATTCCTCCATGCAGATCTCCTCTAGAGCAGTGATGTTTTGGGGCTGTCGCTGGGCAACACAGACTTTCAACTCCCTCCAAAGATTTTCTATGGGGTTGAGGTCTGGAGACTGGCTAGGCCACTCCAGGACCTTGAAATGCTTCTTACGAAGCCACTCCTTCGTTGCCCGGGCGGTGTGTTTGGGATCATTGTCATGCTGAAAGACCCAGCCACGTTTCATCTTCAATGCCCTTGCTGATGGAAGGAGGTTTTCACTCAAAATCTCACGATACATGGCCCCATTCATTCTTTCCTTTACACGGACCAGTCGTCCTGGTCCCTTTGCAGAAAAACAGCCCCAAAGCATGATGTTTCCACCCCCATGCTTCACAGTAGGTATGGTGTTCTTTGGATGCAACTCAGCATTCTTTGTCCTCCAAACACAACGAGTTGAGTTTTTACCAAAAGGTTCTATTTTGGTTTCATCTGACCATATGACATTCTCCCAATCCTCTTCTGGATCATCCAAATGCACTCTAGCAAACTTCAGACGGGCCTGGACATGTACTGGCTTAAGCAGGGGGACACGTCTGCACTGCAGGATTTGAGTCCCTGGCGGCGTAGTGTGTTACTGATGGTAGGCTTTGTAACTTTGGTCCCAGCTCTCTGCAGGTCATTCACTAGGTCCCCCCGTGTGGTTCTGGGATTTTTGCTCACCGTTCTTGTGATCATTTTGACCCCACGGGGTGAGATCTTGCGTGGAGCCCCAGATCGAGGGAGATTATCAGTGGTCTTGTATGTCTTCCATTTCCTAATAATTGCTCCCACAGTTGATTTCTTCAAACCAAGCTGCTTACCTATTGCAGATTCAGTCTTCCCAGCCTGGTGCAGGTCTACAATTTTGTTTCTGGTGTCCTTTGACAGCTCTTTGGTCTTGGCCATAGTGGAGTTTGGAGTGTGACTGTTTGAGGTTGTGGACAGGTGTCTTTTATACTGATAACAAGTTCAAACAGGTGCCATTAATACAGGTAACAAGTGGAGGACAGAGGAGCCTCTTAAAGAAAAAGTTACAGGTATGTGAGAGCCAGAAATCTTGCTTGTTTGTAGGTGACCAAATACTTATTTTCCACCATAATTTGCAAATAAATTCATTAAAAATCCTACAATGTGATTTTCTGGAATTTTTTTCCTCAATTTGTCTGTCATAGTTGACGTGTACCTATGATGAAAATTACAGGCCTCTCTCATCTTTTTAAGTGGGAGAACTTGCACAATTAGTGGCTGACTAAATACTTTTCCCCCCCACTGTATATATTCATGAGAAGATATAAAAACAGTCATTTGTTGATTGTATCGGACACTGTATTGTGCCCTTATACGAATGCCTTTAGGCATGAATCAATCTCGTCTTCTTTTTATACTTCGGGTCCACAGTCAGCACACAGCTTTGGGGCTTTGTGTGAGCAAGCCCCACAAACAAATCATTTGCACTGCACACAGTTTTCATGGGCCTTGTTTCGTGTGCACCTGCTGCAGGTGTCTCATAATCTCTGAAGCGGTTGTGTGGCATGGTCTCTCAGAAAAAGTCCACCCCATACCTATCAGACAAAAATGACTCCACATCCATGCTCTTTCCACCGTATGCCCCGCGGACATACAAGAGTGCAAAAAATGCTTTGAGTTTATCCATAGACATGTCCCACGTACTGTTTCCTTTTCTGTGCCCATGAGCAACAGTACAATCGCTGGTGTGCTGCAACATCCGCATGTCACAAACTCATCACTCTTTTCAACCCAAACCGTGCCACCCAAACCGTGCCATTCCTCCCAGACTCCTGTTGGGATCACCGTCTCAGTTGGCTCTGTTCTGGTTTCTCTGTGGCGAGGCTCAGGCATTGGAGGCGGAGGCTTGAAATTGATGAAGACTCTTCATCAGCAACGTTGATTTCAAGCTCAATTGCCGATCCAACTCTTTTATTTTCTGCAGAATTTGCAATGCTGTCAGTGCGTCCATTAGTTTGGTTGGGCTTGCCATTGTGAACTACACACATTGTATGTTGTACTCAGTGTCTGATTTGACTCTCCGAGAGGAAATTATATACAATTTCCAGCCTTTCATTATAAAATAATTAGACTGTCCACAATTCTTCATTACACTATTGTTCTAAATTCAATCATTCAGATCAATCAATCAATCACCTTCTTCACCCTCATCATTCAGTTCATTGAAGTCACATGCACCATTATCAGTTTCTATTTCCCATTCAGCCATTGACGACAGAATAGCTATTTAAATTGTAAGTGTGTTACTAGTTTTTGCTTAGTAGCCAGAGCAATGTTGCCGCGTGAGTGGTCATGTGCTGAATGCATGGACAGCACAGATTCTTGGAAAAAGTGAAAATTTGGAAATAGCTGCACTTCTTGAATTTTGCGCTCTTTCTGATACTATATAGAAATCAAAATATTTTACTTGCATGTGACTCAGAAGTAGGATTTTATAAAGTGATTCTCCTTTCCCTTCATCTCTCAATTACAAGATGCGCCCATCTATTCATGTACAATTTGATAACTGATAGGTCTATTATTGTGACTCAACAGATTATTGTTAATTTAATCTAGTCTATGAAAATGTGTAGTTTCGATGAGCCGGTTGTGCAGGCTGACTGACATCGTTTTTTAAAAGTAAATGAAACATTCCTGTAACAGCTTTTACAAAGTAAAATGTAAATGAGAATGGTATCAACCCGCAAGGCGCGCGGTCAAATTATTAACATGAGCGCCAACGCTGATAAATAGGCATTACACGAACTCATTACAATGTTGTTGTTGGCCTAATTTTAAATTGTATTCTCAATTATCGGCCATTCTATCAATCAATTTGTCATTCATTCAGTGGGCTGGCATCGTTTGCTTCCCTGGATAGAGTCAAGGATATGTTTTGCATTATTTTAAAGTAAAGGCCTACTGCAAAATGTAGCATGTTTTTTTCCCTTACAATACATTTCATTAGTAATAGTTATAGTAAATATAACAGTTCCATAACAGCTTCTTTTTACAAAGTAAAACATAAAAGAGAATGGTATCAACCTGCGTGGACAAATTATTTGCTGATAAATAGGCATAACACAAACTCCTTATTACACTATTGTCTTTCTAAATTAAATCAACCTCTTCACCCTCATCATTCAGTTAGGCCTAATTTAAATTCAATTGTGAAGTAAGGTGCAAAATGATCGCCCATTCATCCATTTGTCATTCAGTGAGGCGAGAGAGACGTGTTAGTGCCTGGCTGGGTACCAACGTCCTATAGCACATTGTCTTGGTGGGTTAAGTTGGGAATAGGTGTGAAAAAACCCTGGTAAAAAGGCTCCAAATAATTTTCTGTTTGTGATTTCAAAATTCTGACAAATGAGCAGTGTAAAATACAAACATTTAGGAAAAGTCAGGGAATGAGCAGGACATAGCTTATTTTTTGGGCAGATTTTTTATTTACAAAATAAAACGTCAGTGGCCTATGGCGGTTCTAGTGTTAAAGCCTTTCCATTCCCACTGTTTCAAACCACCATCAGTTAGGCAACTCTGGACACAATTAATTCATCCTAGTGACTGAGCTTCTTTCTTATTATAAATGTTGGTTAAAACGGTTATTACACAAACACACACACACGCATCAATACCTCCTAAATTAATAACATGGTTAGATGACACTTCCAGATGGTAGATTCTATATTAGACATTCCACACCACCACTCCCAGTAGGTTGAAGAGTGATGCCAACCTGGTAATCATGTTGAGTTACGAAGAACACTCTTATTCCAGGGCATGTTGTAACATTCTTCACTAATTTATACGTAGTAAAAGTTGATTCAGCCTTTTTGAACACATCCCTGTTCTGTTCTTTTGTTTGTGTCTTGTGAAAAAACAAAACAAACATATTTTCTCTTCCCATGCAGAGATCGTGACATCACACCAGGACGGTAACCGCCCCTGCTGGTTACCAGGGAGCTCCCTGATTCCACCCCTGTGGAGATGGAGCCCCAGGGGCTGCTGGGAGCAGAGGGGGATTATGGGATGTTGGGTCTGCTGGTGCCCAGTCCTCAGAGTGAGGCGGTCACCCATGAGCTGGAGGAGCTGACCCTACAGCCCAGCAACAACCTGCCCCCCCTCAACGAACGCAAGAACGGTGAGTGGGGAGGAGAAACACACACGCAAGCACACACTATTGTGATTGACAAATTGTCGCTTTTGGTTTTGAGTTGTGACCATCTGTACTCGCTGCATGTTCTCAGCTGAAAGACATTGAAACAGACTCTGTGGTAATAGTCAGTCATTATAAGGAATCAGCTTTCTATCATGCAGGCTAACCATTACTCACACTGCACAGTTGTTGTTCTGGCAGCTCTATGGGTCTGGCTATGGCACTGATGAATGAACACATGATTACTGGGTTGAACAGGGCTTAAGAAATGCCATTCTGTTTGCCAGCTCCTAATGACAGCTTAGATGGCTTAAGGATATCAGTCAGACTGATTTTATATTGGTCACCCTACATAGGAAGTCTGTTTCTCATACATAATGATCAATGATCATTTTGTTTTGCTCCACTGTGATAGATGTGGTTGATTGGTCAGTCACTTGAACAGTGCTATGTTTGAAAAGGCCTTCTCACAAGATGGAACTCAAGTGAACCTGCCATAGTCATGTTTACATTGTCTTTGTTTACAACTGTGATTTGGTCTTTTAACCCTTTACACTCGTACCTGTATATGGGTTGAAAATTGCAGATTTGGGCACTGATAAGCGTGTAAATTGGAACGCAGTGGCTGTACAGTAACATGCTATATATTACATCTGAGCTCAGTCTCTGCGCTTCACAGCGTTGTATGGATTTTGACTGACAGCCATTCTGAACTTGAGCACTGCACGCAACAAGATGTTGACCCCATCCCTCCCCCTAATTGGGCAACTTTTGCAAATGTTTTGTTATCTGAGTGGTAAATGGTTTTAAATTAAGAGGACTCTATGTATTTTGAAAGATGAGACGATGAGGATTATCTTCATTACTACTTTACGGCCGGTATGTACTTCCAAAAACGGGGGTAAAAAAAAATATACCCACACATCCCATGCACTTCAGACATTGAGCAACTGGGAAACTACATACTGTTGAAAGTTGAATCACAGGGGAGTGGTGAAAGTGTCAAGCATGTCAGACTCCTTGGAATCCTGGCCAGAATCTCTCACCCTCTGAGTTGACCTGGACTGAGTTCAATGAGCCAACCCACAGCTTAGGAAACACTGCTTAGACTGTGTGTGTGTCTGTGTTAGGGCTGGGAATTGCCAGGGACCGCAGGAATATGATATTATCACAATACTTAGGTGTCGATACGATATGTATTGCGACTCACACGATTCGCGATTCTATATCTATTGCGATACAATACTGCGATTTGATCTTCCAAACGTAGTGCTCACTATATGTCTGTTGCAGAGAGATGAGAGAGCATGATAACTATTTTGGATCAGTCATGGAAATAAAAGTGATGAAAACACGTTGGCTCACTATTTAAAAGAAGATTGAGGCCAAGCTATAGGATGAAACGTTTTTGCGCAGGTACAGCCGACTAACGCTACCAACAGTTATTTTTACAAATCGATACTTGGAGTCAAATATCAGTATAATATTGTCCAAAAATAATATTGCGATATGTAACTAGATTTTTTACCCCCCCATCACTAGTCTGTATGTCTGTTTTTGCATGTAAACTTGCTGCCGGTGTGTGTGCGTGTGTATTGATGTGTGCATGCACGTATGTGTGTTCTGTTTCTGTGTGTGTAAACCTGCCTTTTGGGTGTGTGTTTTATCTCCTGTATGTTAACTCAGCCCTACATAAAACAGTGCTTACATATCACTATGACTGGCACAGTCTGGTCAGGGTGTTCCCCAGGGGTCAGTGTGGTTACCACATGGAAATGTGAATCAGCTAAACTAAACAGACCCCAGTGTCACTCAGCTAGTGTTTTTGTGACTTTCTTTTCTCCTAAAAGACGCTGTAAGGTGTTAACTTGAACTGGTCCACCTCCTGTCCTGCCTCTTGTTTCTCACTGGTGGGTCGGTTGCTACTGATGAGGACAGGCACAATCCATCGACTGAAGCTTCGATACAAACAGAGTCTAAGAGAGTGTGCAAAGAGCGCAAGAGAGGGGGCAGTGGTTGATCTGCCTACAAGAGAAAAATTGTGAGCGACACAAAGATAAAGAGAGAGGAGAGGAGTAGTAGTAGTAGTAGAGTAGAGCTTTGAGAGAATATCGAGGCATGGACATCCAGGCAGACTTGGAGTCTGGAGGTTCATCTCTCCTGTAGCTCTCTGTGTCGACTGACAGACTGACTGACAGATAAACATATGGGACAGTAGTTATTCAGTCGCGTGCAGACCTTCCAGAGCCTCCTCAGCTGATATTGACTATGGCTTGCCTGGATGTGGAGACCCACTCACTCTGCAGGGACAGGTTCGGATCAGGTGATTTTCTCTTTCAGCATTCGCTGCACTGCCTGTCTGTCACCGTTGCTTGTTTATCAGATGGTTGGCACATGGTGCTTGCAACACCATAGTTATGAGTTTAATTTATGCGTGGGCCACAGAGATGTTATCATTGTATTGTATCATCAGTTACAGACAGTATTGTGTTAGACTGGCGATTCAATGAGGGGAGTGGATTGGAGGTATTTTGTCAGGGTCGGATGAGGTTTCTGTCTGCTCAGAATGACTCAGAGGTCACAGGCTACTGAGCATACTGTTAATGCAATGTGATGGATGTGTCACATAGAGAGGTTTTAGCCACTAAATGGTACAACTCAAAATGCATGTTCTGTTTTCATCTTGTAGACTGTTGTTTTTGTCTGGGTAATCAATTTGGTTTCCTGGTTGCAATAATGTTGTCGTTATTGTAACAGGAAGGAAACACAGAGCTATTATGGTAATCAATAAGCTTGGGTGGCATACCGTATATAACGTATGCCGGGGTATTTGGAAAACGACACAGGATGGTTTTTCAATACTGCCAGGGGTGTTGCCAGTGGTGTTATCAGTTCTAATGTTGTACCCATTTGTTTGAACTCCACTCTTAGATCTGCTATTGTTAGCTCAAAAGAGGAGCCCACTGTGGTCTGCTCACGCAGTGCTTTTAGTTCAAATGTGAATTCCATAAACTTGAATACCCCCTTGGTTTTCAAATCACATAGAGGGCTTGGGCTGTTGCATGATAGCAACTGAAGCCCATGTAAGTCCGTTTCTAACATTCCATCATTACTCTGAGAGTTCCTCATATTGACATTGGCTGCGGCCTTAGGCCCTATGGTGCTAACCTTGGAAAAGTTATTCAAGTAATTTCTTCTCCTTCCTCTATTACTAATAGGGATTGACCAAATGGTGCAGTTCTGTGCAATCTTATAGCCATACCAACTATATCAATATCAACCATCAGACAGGGCCCGCAACCACCTATTGAATGTAGCTTGTTTGAGTTGGAGTTTCCATGTGACTTTAAAAATCGTAAAGGATTGGGTTGATGCATCTGAACATTAGGAGCTTACTTCCTAAACTAGATTTCATTCAGATCTTGGCTATGCAGACAAATCTGGACATGCTGGTATTGACTGAAACCTGGATCTCTGGGGACATTCTGGACTCTGATATTAATATTGAAGGTTATCTCTTTGGTCAAATCAATTTCCCTTGCCAAAAAATGTGAGTTACTATCTTTTAAGCTGAGAAAATGTGTCCATAACTGTTATATGAGTCAGCTGTCCTCCCTCGGCTAACCTTTGTGCACTCGCAGAGTTAACTAGTTTGTCTTATTTTACTAAATCAGAAGTTATTATTCTGGGTGTCCTGAATTATGATTGGGAAATGCAGGCTTTGGACAATCTAAAAAACGTGTAATGATCTAAACCTAACCCAGCTGGTGACCTAGCCTACACGGCATAACCCTAAAGATCCTTCAAAGTCAACTCTGATTGATCTTATTTTGACGAATACGCCAGAGAAATGTCTCTTAAGTGACCATTGCCCAGTTGTTTGTGTTATACATGTGAGAATACAAAAATCGAAGCCTCGTGTCATCACAAAGAAGAACTAAAAAAAAATCTGTGAATTGCCTTTTTTACACTATCTTTATTTTAGTGACCTTGATTGTATTTCAGCTATCCCTGAACCTGATATAGCTTTGAGCCTCTTTGCAGATGTCTTCAATACTATTGGGGATAATCATGCTCCCTTCAAAAAATTAAGGGTTAAAGGTAGATTGAATGCCTGGTACACTCCGGAATTATCAGAAGTCATTCATAAAAGAGATGATGCTTGGGTCAAGGTCAGGAACATGGGCTTAGGCCCAGACTGGCTAGCTTTTAAGAAACTGAGGAATCAAATGATTGTGTAAAAGAAATCAGAAAGGCTAATGATTATTATGTAATGGGTCCTTCAAATTGTAATGGGAACCTGGCTAAATAAAGGAAAACTGTCAAATACCTGAAGGGTTCTACTTCCTCCTCTCTGCCAAATTAATTTAGACACTGGCCTCATTGCCATCATTGATGCATTTAATCACCATTTTATTTATTTGAAAGAACTTCAATGCCAGTTCACAATGATATTGGGCTGGATGCTGATAAGGGAAACTTGCTTAATGATCAGAGAAATGATAGTCTCAGCTTTTCTTTTAGGTTATTTGCAGAAATATAAGTCCTGGATGCTTTGCTAGCAATAGACAAGAAATCCACAGGGGCTGACCAATTGGATCCTGGTCTGCTTAAGTGCGCAGCGCCCATCATTGTTGGCTCAATAACCCACATTTGTTATTTACCATTGTTATCAGGAAATATTCAAAAAGTATGGAAATCAGCTCTTGTGCTGCCACTCCATAAGTGCGGGGATAGTAGTGATCTTAATAATTATTGCCCCATTCAAGGCTTCCATGTCTAGCTAAGATTCTCGAATTGTTGGTAAATGTACAACTTTGCTCATTTTTATCAGAGAAATGTATTTTGAATGTAAACCAATCAGGGTTTAGGCCTTGGCATAGCACTATTACATCAACCACTTCAGTTGTTAATGATCTTGTCAATGCTTTAGACTCTAAAATGAAATGTGCTGCTTTGTTTGTTTGTTGACTTGTGAAAAGCTTTTGATACTGTTGATCATGCTATTCTATTGAATAAGTTGTCCTCTATAGGCCTGAGCTCTGACGCCTGTTCATGATTTCAAGATTATTTAGTGACAGAACTCAGGCCATCGTGATTGATGGGGTAAAGTCTGAATTTCTTTAAGTGCATAAATGTGTACGGGTCGATTTTGGGACCTGTTCTCTTCACTATTTATATAAACACCATTGGTAAATCTGTTAAAAATTGATAAATTAATCTATATGCGGATGATGCTATTGCCCTGACTGTTGATCTGGCTGTGTCAAAACTACAGTCAGATTTCATAGCTATGCAGTAATCCTTTGCTGATTTAAAACTTGTACTTAATGTCGGAAAAATTAAATTAATGTTGTTTTTAAACTCTCGTAAGAATGTTTAAAATTAATTACATGTTCACTCAGATGGTTCTCCAATGGAACGTGTTTGCGCATATAAGGACTGTCCCCGACAAAAAAAATCTTGGTTGACCAAAAGTTGTCTGTTTTTTCGACCAATTTATTTTCAAACGTGTTTTTTCCCATATATAGACACACCCTACCCTACAGTGCATTCGGAAAGTATTCAGACCCCTTCCCTTTTTCCACATTTTGTTACGTTACAGCCTTATTCTAAAATTGATTAAATAAAAAAATTCCTCATCAATCTACATACAATACCCCATAATGACAAAGCAAAGACAGGTTTTTTGAAATGTTTGCACATTTATTAAAAGTTAAAAACAGAAATACCTTATTTACATAAGTATTCAGACCCTTTGCTATGAGACTCGAAATTGAGCTCAGGTGCATCCTGTTTCCATCGATCATCCTTGAGATGTTTCTACAACTTGATTGGAATCCACCTGTGGTAAATTCAAATGATTGAACATGATTTGGAAAGGCACACACCTGTCTATATAAGGTTCCACAGTTGACAGTGCATGTTAGAGCAAAAACCAAGCCATGAGGTCGAAACAATTGTCCTTAGAGCTCCGAGACAGTATTGTGTCGAGGCACAGATCTGGGGAAGGGTACCAAAACATTTCTGCAGCATTGAAGGTCCCCAAGAACACAGTGGCCTCCATCATTCTTAAATGGAATAAGTTTGGAACCACCAAGACTCTTCGTAGAGCTGGCCGCCCAGCCAAACTGAGGGCCTTGGTCAGGGAGGTGACCAAGAACCCAATGGTCACTCTGACTGAGCTCCAGAGTTATTCTGTGGAGATGGGAGAACCTTCCAGAAGGACAACCATCTCTGCAGCACTCCACCAATCAGGCCTTTATGGTAGAGTGGCCAGATGGAAGCCACTCCTCAGTAAAAGGCACATGACAGCCCGCTTGGAGTTTGTCAAAGTTTTCTGGTCTGATGAAACCAAGATTGAACTCTTTGGCCTGAATGCCAAGCGTCACGTCTGGAGGAAACCTGGGACCATTCCTACGGTGAAGCATGGTGGTGGCAGCATCATGCTGTGGGAATGTTTTTCAGCGGCAGGGACTGGGAGACTACTCAGGATCAAGTACAAAGAGATCCTTGATGAAAACCTGCTCCAGAGTGCTCAGGACCTCACACTGGGGTGAAGGTTCACCTTCCATCAGGACAACGACCCTAAGCACACAGCCAAGACAACGCAGGAGTTGTTTCGAGACAAGTCTCTGAATGTCCTTGAGTGGCCCAGCCAGAGCCCGGACTTGAACTCGATCGAACATCTCTGGAGAGACCTGTAAATAGCTGTGCAGCGACGCTCCCCATCCAACCTGACAGAGCTTGAGAGGATCTGCTGAGAAGAATGGGAGAAACTACCCAAATACAGGTGTGCTAAGCTTGTAGCGTCATACCCAAGAAGACTCGAGGCTGTAATCGCTGCCAAAGGTGCTTCAACAAAGTACTGAGTAACGGGTCTGAATACTTATGTAAATGTATATATTTCCATTTATTAATTTTTTATAAATGTACAAGAATTTAAAAAAAACCTGTTTTTGCTTTGTCATTATGGGGTGTGTAGATTGATGAGGAGAAAAAGCAATTGAATCCATTTTAGAATAAGGCTGTAGCGTAACAAAATGTGCAAAAAGTCAAGGGGTTTGAATACTTCACGAATGCACAGTATGTGCTTTAATGAAATTTAAATATACAGTGGCTTGGGAAAGTATTCAACCCCCTTGGCATTTTTCCTATTTTGTTGCCTTACAACCTGGAATTCAAATTGATTTTTGGGGGGGTTTGTATCATTTGATTTACACAACATGCCTACCACTTTGAAGATCCAAAATATTTTTTTGGGTGAAACAAACAAGAAATAAGACAAAAAAACTACTTTTCACCCCCCCCCCCATTCTTCAAGGCAAAACTACTCCAGCTCCTTCAAGTTGGATGGGTTCCGCTGGTCTACAGCAATCTTTAAGTCATACCACATATTCTCAATTGGATTGAGGTCTGAGCTTTGACTAGGCCATTCCAATACATTTTAAATGTTTCCCCTTAAACCACTCGAGTGTTGCTTTAGCAGTATGCTTAGGGTCATTGTCCTGCTGGAAGGTGAACCTCCGTCCCAGTCTCAAATCTCTGGAAGACTGAAATAGGTTTCCCTCAAGAATTTCCCTGTATTTAGCGCCATCCATCATTCCTTCAATTCTGACCAGTTGAAGTCGGAAGTTTACATACACCTTAGCCAAATACATTTAAACTCAGTTTTTCACAATTCCTGACATTTAATCCTAGTAAAAATTACCTATCTTAGGTCAGTTAGGATCACCACTTTATTTTAAGAATGTGAAATGTCAGAATAATAGTAGAGATAATGATTTATTTCAGCTTTTATTTCTTTCATCACATTCCCAGTGGGTCAGAAGTTTACATGCACTCAATTTTTTATTTGGTAGCATTGCCTTTAAAAAATGTAACACCTGTGCACACTTAGATTGCGCATAGGTGGACTTTATTTAACTAAATATGTGACTTCTGAAGGTCATTTGTTGCACCAGATCTTATTTAGGGGCTTCATAGCAAAGGGGTGAATACATATTCACGCACCACTTTTCCGTTATTTACTTTTTAAGAAATCTTTGTAAACAAGGTATTTTTTTCACTTCCCCTATTTTGTGTATGTCCATTACATGAAATCCAAATAAAAATCCATTTAAATTACATGTTGTAATGCAACAAAATAGGAAAAATGCCAAGGTGGATGAATACTTTTGCAAGGCACTGTATGTAGTCTATTAAGCTTGTCTGAATCTTTGAACATACGGTGATTTAAATAATTAAGACACACAAATTACTCAAGAGTGAGCCAGAGATCAAGGTGACCTTATTCAGAATGAAAAAATCCCGTTCCAGACCCCCCTCCTCCGACTTCTGCTGGCCTTCGCAGATTCTGCCGTTATGCTCCTGAAGTTGCCAGTGATAGGCTAACCCAGGGGTCGGAAACCTTTTGTGTGCCAATTTATCTTACCATTTCTACCTATGTGCGTGCCAGTTATGATTTACATATGCACATTTCATTTCAGTTATTAAAAAAATTATTTATCTCAAAATCATTGAAATGTGGTCAAAATTCTATTTAAATCTAAATATAGATTCAAATCTAAAATTAACTTCCATTGCCAACTATGTAAAAATAGCATATATAAAGCCAACAAATAAAAACATTACAGCCTGCAGGTAGAAAATATCCTATAAAACACATTGGCTAAGCATGACCTGTTTGCAAGGAACTTGAAACATTGTATCAACTATCAACTTGGTCCAGCCCGAAGCTTGCGCTAGCAAACTTACAACGTTGTATAAAATATTCTGGGCCCTCAGTTTCCCGCTGCAGTGTGCTCTGGACAGACACAGCTGTAGGCTATTTGCGCATTCCAAAATGATGGGCATTAGTTTGGCTATAACAGCCTCCACTCTTCTGGGAAGGCTTTCCACTAGATGTTGGAACATTGCTGCGGGGACTAGCTTCCATTCAGCCACAAGAGTATTAGTGAGGTCGGGCACTGATGTTGGGCGCTGTATGGACCTTGCTTTGTGCACGGGGACATTGTCATGCTGAAACAGGAAAGGGCCTTCCCCCAACTGTTGGCACAAAGTTGGAAGCACAGAATCGTCTAGAATGTCATTGTATGCTGTAGCTTTAAGATTTCCCTTCACTGGAACTAAGTGGCCTAGCCCGAACCATGAAAAACAGCCACAGACCATTATTCCTCCTCCACCAAACTTTACAGTTGGCACTATGCACCCAGATTCATCCGTCGCACTGCCAGATGATGAAACGTGATTCATCACTCCAGAGAACACGTTTCCACTGCTCCAGAGAAAACTGAAATATATACATTTACATAAGTATTCAGACCATTTGCTCAGTACTTTGTTGAAGCACCTTTGGCAGCGATTACAGCCTCGAGTCTTCTTGGGTATGACGCTACAAGCTTGGCACACCTGTATTTGGGTAGTTTCTCCCATTCTTCTCTGCAGATCCTCTCAAGCTCTGTCAGGTTGGATGGGGAGCGTCGCTGCACAGCTATTTTCAGGTCTCTCCAGAGATGTTCGATCGGGTTCAGGTCCGGGCTCTGGCTGGGCCACTCAAGGACATTCAGAGGCTGTGTGCATATGGTCGTTGTCCTGCTGGAAGGTGAACCTTCGCCCCAGTCTGAAGTCCTGAGCGCTCTGGAGCAGGTTTTCATTAAGGATCTCTCTGTACTTTGCTCCGTTCATATTTCCGTCGATCCTGACTAGTCTCCCAGTCCCTGCCGCTGAAAAACATCTCCACAGCATGATGCTGCCATCACCATGCATCACCGTAGGGATGGTTCCTGGTTTCCTCCAGACGTGATGCTTGGCATTCAGGCCAAAGAGTTCAATCTTGGTTTCATCAGACCAGAGAATCTTGTTTCTCATGGTCTGAGAGGAAACTCCAAGCGGGCTGTCATGTGCCTTTTACTGAGGGGCTTCCATCTGACCACTCTACCCTAAAGGCCTGATTGGTGGAGTGCTGCAGAGATGGTTGTCCTTCTGGAAGGTTCTCCCATCTCCACAGAATAACTCTGGAGCTCTGTCAGAGTGACCATTGGGTTCTTGGTCACCTCCCTGACCAAGGCCCTTCTCCCCGATTGCTCAGTTTGGTTGGTCTTGGTGTTTCCAAAATTATTCTGTTTAAGAGTGATGCAGGCCACTGTGTTCTTGGAGACCTTCAATAATGCAGAAGTTTTTTGGTACCCTTCCCCAGATCTGTGCCTCTACACAATCCTGTCTTGGAGCTCTACTGATAACTCCTTTGACCTCATGGCTTGGTTTTTGCTCTGACATGCACTGTCAACTGTGGGACCTTATCTAGACAGGTTTGTGCCTTTCCATATCATGTCCAATCAATTGAATTTAGCACTGGTAGACTCCAAGTTGTATAAACATCTCAAGGATGATCAATGGAAACAGGATGCACCTGAGCTCAATTTCGAGTCTCATAGCAAAGGGTCTGAATACTTACGTAAATAAGGTTTCTGTTTTTAATTTTTAATCAATTAGCTAAAATTTCTTAAACCTGTTTTCGCTTTGTCATTAAGGGGTATTGTGTTTAGATTGATGAGAAAACCCCCAAATTAATCCATTTTAGAATAAAGCTGTAACGTAACAAAACGTGGAAAAAGTCAAGGGGTCTGAATACTTTCCGAATTCTCTGTATATATTTTGTGTATTTTTATATTGTATTATACAGGGCACATTTGGAAAAGAGACCTAGGTCTCAATGTCTTCCCTGTCAAAATAAAGGTTAAATATAAAAATACTGTCAAAACGATTTCTTTGAAGTTTTTCAATAGATGTTCTTATTTGTAGCTACTTTTTAAGTTAATACCTGCAGTCAACTTGTGCAGTAAGTTAGGAGTTTAAGCAGATTGCATTCTTCATTTCACCGCATTATTTTACATTATGAAGCTTACCTCAGAACAGTTGAGGCAGTCATGTGTTTGTTTGTAAATAGCACAACAGGAGAAAGCGAGTTGGTGAGTCCATAGCGTTCTATATCTATCGGCGAATCTCTGTTGTGCGGTGCACATGATGATGTTACACTTGTATGCAATTCACTACTAAATGTTGGCCATCAGATATCCTATAATGGCATTCTGTCAGAAGTCAAAGAGCTCTGGATGAATTATCTGTACAGCTGCCATTTCTTCCCTGTGCTTCCTATTAGTGCTTTTTTTCCCCATCTGTGCGGTGTACACACATGCTTTTCTGAAGGAAGAGAAGCACATCACAACTTTGTTCATTTGCACAATTTATCTCATTCACTTTCGCATGTAAATGTCCACACTCATTGAAAATGACATTCGGTAGCTATTAGCTATGCTTCTATGACTTTATGAGCTGGATTTGCCTGTCTTTTCAATTAGTTTATGTTCGTTTTCACTTGTTCGCATTTAGCTAACAGCGTCTATGTGATTTCGCTGTTTGTTTGTGCTAATTTTGTTAGCATTCTGGTAATAGAGGCCCAATGGGCTTTTCTTGTGTTTTTACCGCCCCCTTGTGTGCTATGCCGGTAATACCATAAATTCCAGGATGAGAGAAGGATGGTATGACAACATGAAAATCTAGATACCGCCCAAGCCTAGTAATCAATGTAGTCAAGTACATTTAGGCTATCTGATTTAGCTGTTTGAAATCATGTTTTTCTTGTTTAGCCATTTGAGATAAAATCACAATTCCCCCTGATTTCTGTTCCTGTACAATTTTCCAATGCTTTTGATTATTTAAATTAGTTTGTGCCGGATTTGATTAGCCTTGGCTGCAGCTGAAAGAACCAAAGAATGAAACAGTTTTAAGGAATTAAATTATTGTTCAGATAAGGGATTAAAGTGAAACCAACCAGGGCTTGTTAATGATTTGACGGACATTCCATTGGTCAGTGTTATGTTGTCATCCAGGCTCTGCTGTAGCTGGCCGCAACCGGGAGACCAATGGGGCAGCGCACATTTGGCCCAGCGTCGTCCAGGGTAGGGGAGGGAATGGCCAGCAGGGAGGTAGCTCAGTTGGTAGAGCATGGCGTTTGCAACGCCAGGGTTGTGGGTTCGATTCCCATGGGGGGGAAGAAAAAAAAATAGAATAATGTATGCACTAACTGTAAGTCGCTCTGGATAAGAGCGTCTGCTAAATGACGTAAATGTAAATGTAAATGTCACACTGCTGGTGGGAAAGGAAGTGAGTAGTGGTTGTGGTGGCCGTGGGAGGCCTTACTCCCGTGGTCTAACAGAGCCACATCCTCTTGTGAAACCTCAGATGCCTCAGTTACTCATGATGACTTCAGACCCTTAGATGCAGGCAGTTTCTGGTTGTGTTTACTGAAGTCTGCCTTTCTCGCTCCCTCGCTCTCTCTTTTTCTCTGTCTGTCTCAACAGTCCTTCAGCTGAGGCTACAGCAGAGACGTACCCGTGAGCAGCTGGTAGACCAGGGCATCATGCCTCGTGAGTATGGGCACTGCCACTTCATGTAGTCATAATTGAGTTATGTGTTAGAGTTAGAGGTGTCTGTTGAGAAGCTGAATAATGTGTTTGTCTCCATGCAGCTCTAAAGAGCCCAGCGGCATTCCATGAGCAGATACGCAGCCTGGAGAGAGCCAGGGTAAGAGCTCAGCCTTGCAAAAACATTCCCCAATATATTCTGTATTCTTGTATTGAAATTTCTTGAAAATGGCCTGTCCCCGCTTTCCCTTTCCCAGACGGAAAACTTCCTGAAACACAAGATCCGCAGCCGACCAGAGCGATCTGAGCTGGTCAGAATGCACATCCTCAAGGAGACTGGGGCAGAGCCCTCCCTGCAGGCCACCCAGATGAAGCTGAAGAGGGCCAGGCTGGCTGACGACCTGAATGAGAAGTTGGCCCAGCGCCCCGGCCCCATGGAACTGGTAGAAAAGAACATTCTGCCTGTAGAACCCAGCGTCAAGGAGGCCATCATTGGTAAGGCCTGGTAGAGCGAGATAGCGATCTGGCGCCGTATCAAGAGTCTGAGTGTAGGAGTGCTGAATTAGGATCAGTTTTGTTTTTTAGATCATAATAAATACGATTAGATGGACAGCCGGAACCTGATCCTAGATCAGCACTCCTACTCTGATACACTTGGTGAATACGGGCCTAAATCACCGAATTTTGAGGCCTGTTTGTTGACCTTTACCCCTTTCTAAACTTGATGTGATGTATTAAAGTTGACTGTGTTGGTCCCTCAGTAAACTACCCCAAAGCGCTGGACGCGTACAGATTTGAGGAGGACAGCGGGGAAGCCCTGTCTCCAGAGCAGCCGGCCAGCCACGAGTCCCAGGCCTCCGCACCCTCCCCTGGGGAACCTCGGGCCCTGGAGACCCCCTGCCCACCACCGCTGCCCACAATCACACAGGTAGGGATTAGGGAGATTCTTTATCCACTTTTTTTTAAAACATTTTAGTCATTTAGCAGACACTCTTATCCAGAGCGAGTTACAGTTAGTGAGTGCATACATTATTATTTTTTCATACTGGCCCCCCGTGGGAATCGAACCCACAACCCTGGCGTTGCAAACACCACGCTCTACCAACTGAGCTACATCCCTGCCGGCCATTCCCTCCCCTACCCTGGACGACACTGGGCCAATTGTGCGCCACCCCATGGTCTCCCGGTCACGGCCGGCTACGACAGAGCCTGGATTTGAACCAGGATCTCTAGTGGCACAGCTAGCACTGCGATGCAGTGCCTTAGACCACTGCGCCACTCGGGAGACTGAATGTCCTTTTGAAGGACAGTAAATATGCTTCATCATACCTAGTGTTACAAAGGGAGGGTATATTACTGGAAACTTTCGGAGTTTACCAGTAAACTACCAGAATTTTGGTAGCCTTCAAGTTTTTGGGGGGAATTTTATAAGATTACATCTAGTGGCCTTTTTGGGTACTTCATATTATCACAGGTGTCTGTAATTATCTATGGTCCTCTGTGGTATTATCACATGTAAAATAATCAAATAAGATTATTTTAAAATAAACAATTTAATGACAAAGCTGTAAAACATTATCTTAAATATAAACCATCAACTTAGTGAATACAATTGATGTTTAATATGATGGTTTCAGCATTAAATATATTTTATATTTCTTTACAAATGTATTTATTTTACAATGTCAATATGTCTTTGTTTTAAACTGGTGGCAGTTGTGAAAAAAGTCAATAGTTGAAAGAGTTTCAGTTAATTTAAAATAATGCTATTGTTGATTTTAGATGCTTTTTTCATTACTCTTGAACCATATGGTCTATCCACTAGAGCAGTGTTTCCCAACTCCAGTCCTCGGATACCCTCCAATAGTACACGTTTGTTGTAGCCGCGGACAAGCACACCTGATTCAACTTGTCAACGAATCATCAAGCCCTCAATGAGTTGAATCAGGTGGGGTTTGTCCGGGGATACAACAAAAATGTGTGCTGTTGAGGGTGCTTGAGGACTGGAGTTGGGAAACACTGGACTAGAAACTCATGGACAATATGGACACAGATATAAAAAATGAATACTTATATGAATACATTTAAAAAAAAGTTATTCAAGTATAAATTAACATAGTAACTTTGGTAAATAACCGGTAGCTTTGCAACCCTAATCATACCTCTCATTCTTTGTCTACCCCTGAATGATTGTAACAATTAATAATTTAGGTAAATGTTCAGAGAAATTGAAATTATTAACATGAAACATAGGCTTACAGTTATTACTGAAATGTGTTCCTCTGTCTTTTCTTTCTGTCCCAGCCCTTCCCTGTTGTCACCCAGGCAACGGCAGACTTCCTAAAAGCTCTCTCCACCAATGAGCTGCCAGTCAGTCACCCAGCACCCACATCTCAGCCAATCATCACTGTCGTTCCTTCAAAGCCAGGGCCCACCCTAGTGAAAGTAAGCAGACACATTGTTCTGTCTACTGTTTAGGGAAGTAGACTTTCTAAACATCAAACTTCACATTTGAAACAAAAGTTCAGTCTTTGAACTAGCATTGAATCCAAATCGCTGAATAAATAAAGGTGTTTAGAAAAAACGATATGTCTTTCTGTACTCAAATCTGGATTCAGTCATCTTCCAGTCATTGAAAAAAACAGTTATTGAGTCACTTCTAAACACAGATTGTCAGACCTGTCCCTGTTCATTCAAACAAGTCTGTAAGGCAGACTGACTGTAGTTTTCAATCATGTGCATTTCTCCTCCTCTGTCATCCCACAGCAGAGCCAGCCCAAGCAGCCGGGGGAGAGGAATCGCAGTAAGAAGGGCAAGGAGCCCAAGCCCCGGGTCAAGAAGTTAAAGTACCACCAGTATGTCCCCCCGGACCAGAAACAGGAGGCCAGCGAAGCCCACATGGACTCATCCTACACCAAGATCCTTCACCAGCAGCAACTCTTCCTCCAGCTGCAGATCCTTAACCAACAACAGCAGCACTACAACTACCACACCATCCTCCCAGCACCTTTAAAGTAGGATATTACTGTCATATCAGGGCAAAGAAATATATAATAATCACTTCTAACACTCCTAGGGTCAAATCATAACTTCCACTTAAGTCCAATCTCCACTTTGTCAATGGGAGACTAAGTGAAAATGTGATTTAAATTGAAGTTAGGATTTGCCCCAGAGGCTCAACAGACTCTAAATTCTGAGATCCGACCCGGGACCCGAGCAGGTCCGGGTAGGCTTGGGCGATATACTGTTTAAACCGTTTCATTAGTCCATTGTTGACAGTCCCAAAATGTTTTGCATGTCAGCAATGAAGTTATCAAGATATACTGTATGTAACTTTCAAAATACAGAAATCATCCCCGTATGATGCATTTGCATCATATGATGCTGTGTTTTGCATCATATGGTGATGATGTCTGTATTTTGAAAGTTACATACAGTATCTTGAACTTGATTGCTGAGAAGCGAAAAATGTTGTGACTATGTCAACAATGGACTAATGAAACAAATACTAAAAGATAGTTTTTGGGTGGAATTTTCCTTTAAATTAAGTATAACTATAAGAAATCAGTGTCAAATAAATTATATCCAGCTCAGGGCTCCAGCTATGCATTTGGTTTGCTAAATTGCTAGCTAAGTGGCTAGATTTCAAGATTAAGCTTCTTGGTTACAGCGGAGACATTCAATCCCCTCCTGGATCAAGATCCCTGTTGCCTAAATTGTTTTGTGCATACATTTTTTGGAAATAGTTCACCTTGTGTGCACATTCGGTACAGAAACAATATGACTGTATGAAAATCTGGATACCGCCTCGACCCTAAGTCCGGGTCCTAAATTCAGACTTTTGTATCGGATCAGGGTCGGGTCTGATATAATTGCCACGGGTCTCGGGTATGTGCAATTAAAATTGATTTACCGACTGGAGCTGATTGGACCCGTCCTCTGTTTAATAATGTGTGTGAAGTGATGAGAACTGCGCAAGCTTGTTATTTGTGTCAGCCAATTGCAACTCAATAAAATGTATAGCTTATGTCCATTTGAAACTGTTTCCAGCTGCTCACTGAGGAGAGAGAGAAAGCGAGTGAAAGGAGCCTTGGCCTTGGCCAGTGGTTCCAAATTTTTTCAGTTACTCTACCACCAACTGAAGTACCCCTGAAGTACCCCCTCATGTGCATTTTACCAGTAAGCCTATGGTCTCATGAGTCCTGGTTGGGAACCACTGGCCTAGGCTACTGTTGATTGCGAAGATGGAGTTCTTTTTCATTTAAGTAAAATTTAAGTTAGATAAGAAGGAGTATAATGAAAAGAAGCCGACAACGGGGAATTTCCTCAGTGACAAGTTTTAATATTGTAGTGGACAAAGATGAGAAGAATGTTGCCGCGGCCAAATGGACTGTGTGCAACTCGCTATTCAGGTTTCATGTAATTTTCTAACTTTTATGTATTTATTTTTTGTATTCATCATTTGTTTGATCATTATTATTATTGTATATCATTATTATTGTCTGCCTATTTAAGATTCTAAACCAGTTGTTTATATATTAAATATTAATTTGATTTTTTAAAAGAATTTAGACCAGTTCTTTAAAAATGTTGGTGGCTAAATTAAATTGGAGCTGTCTTTTTTAATTTTGTGCTCCGTATTTAGTTTAAGATAAGTTTAAAGTAGGCCTGTTGTAAAATAAATAGCATTAGCCTATTGCTGTCATTTGTTGGGTAGGCCTACGGTAGGCACTCGCCTTTGTTGGTAATTGCTGCAATATAAGCCTGTTCAAAACTTTTGTGAAGCTTTAAACCAGTTCTTTAAATATGCAACAAGTGTTATGTTTCATTCTGTTGAGACATTTTCTTTGGCCAAATTAAGTTCCAACTGTAATGTTGTTTGCCTCAATATAATAGAATTACTGGTAGGCCTACTATAGGGCTACTCGTACTCACACCATGAAAATGAAAAACCAAAGAGGGCGAGATGCAAAATGTAATTTAATGCCGCAATATAAGAACCTGTTCGCATTTTCCCTATACATTTTCATGGCACCTGTCTGATTTGCGCCTGTCTCAGTGGACTAATCCATTGAGGAGGACGTGGGGGTGCCACGCTCCAAGAATAAGGGGAGTGTAGCTCACATGCACAAGGCACGTCTCTCTCCAAAATGCGCTCTCTCCCACCATTTTGTTTGAATTCATTGTTTCATAACTTCATTGTGTGCATTGTTTGCTGTGTCTATCAATTCCCCATTACATATATCGCCAGTAGTAGCCTACATTTACCGTTAATTCCCATAGTTTCTAATTTGCAATGTTTGGTTATGGTCATTTCTGTTAATACATTCAATATATTATTATTACAGTCGTTTACTGGTCTCATTGTTGGAGTGGACACGTTGTTTGCAGAGTTTTGTCAATTTATTAATCGTCTTTTGTTTGAAACGCTCCTGTCAATGTTGAGTAAGGACACGCACCTGATTACGCATAGAAGTAGGACTAGTCTACCTGGCCTGCAAGCAAATGTAGGCCTATAAATGTGGCAATTTGGCGATGTCTGATTTAGTATTTCTGATTGTCTTAACTCACCACCACTAATGAGCTGTGGAGCTTCTCAAAGTAATTTTTTCTTCACCTCAAACTGCAAGTAAACAAAGTCTGTTTTAAGAATCAATTGAGAATGACAATAGTTCCTCAAAGTATTAAACAAATATTTCCAGCTCTCCCTTTTGATAACCACTCGGCATGAAAGGGGGAAAATGTAAAGCTCTGATCCATTGGAAACGTCATAAAATATAAAATACCTGATTTACTTCTTATCAAGTTTGTTGCAGACAGGCCATGCGTTGCCAATGTGATTTATAGGATATTTATTTTTATGAGGATATTTTCTACCTGCAGGCTGCAATGTTTTTATTTGTTGGCTTTATGTAGGCTATTTTTTACATATACTGAACAAAAATATAAACCCAACATGCAACAAATTTCAACGATTTTACTGAGTTACAGTTCCTATAAGGAAATCAGTCAATTTAAATAAATTCATTAGGCCCTAATCTATGGATTTCACATGACTGGGCAGGGGTGCAGCCTTGGGTGGGCCTGGGAGGGCATAGACCCACCCACTTGGAAGCCAGGCCCACCCACTGGGGAGCCAGGCCCAGCCAATCAGAATGAGTTTTTCCTCACAAAAGGGCTTTATTATAGACAGAAATACTCCTCAGTTTCATCAGCTGTCCGGGTGGCTGGTCTCAGACGATTCCGCAGGTGAAGAAGCCGGATGTGGAGGTCCTGGGTCTGCGGTTGTGAGGCCGGTTTGATGTGCTGCCAAATTCTCTAAAACGAAGTTAGAGGCGACTTATGGTAGATAAATGAACATTAAATTATCTGGCAACAGCTCTGGTGGACATTCCTGCAGTCAGCATGCCAATTGCGCGCTCCCTCAACTTGGGACATCTGTGGTATTGTGTTGTGTGACAAAACTGCACATTTTTAGTGGCCTTTTATTGTCCCCAGCACAAGGTGCACCTATGTAATGATCATGCTGTTTAATCAGCTTCTTGATATGCCACCTGTCAGGTGGATGGATTATCTTGGCAAAGGAGAAATGCTCACTAACAGGGATGTAAACAAATGTGTGCACAACATTTGAGAGAAATATGCTTTTTGTGCGTATGGAACATTTCTGGGATCTTTTATTTCAGCTCATGAAACATGGGACCATCACCTTACATGTTACGTTTATATTTTTGTTGAGTATAGGCAGTGGCAATAAAAGTTACTTTTAGATTTGTATAATTTTCATTTAGATTTAGATAGAATGTAGATTACCACAGACAATGATTTTGAGATACAAGACTATTATAAATTAAATGAAACTGTTCCATGAAAATGTGCATATTAAAATCATAACTGGCACGCAGATCAGTAGAAATGGTAAGATAAATTGGTACTCCAAATGGAAAAGGTTGCCAACCGCTGGTGTAGCCTGTTCCCGGCAACTTCAGGAGTGTAAAGGTAGAATCTGCTAAGGCCAGCAGCAGTGGGAGGAAGAGGGTCAGGAACTGGTTTTCTTCTTCTGATTAGGCTATCTTGATCTCTGGATCCCTCTTGAGTCATTTGTGTGTCTTAATTATTTAATCGAACAGAGGACTTGAATCAGACAAGTTCAGTACATATATTTGAGTTTATTAAAACACAGGGTGTTTTTATACATTTGCATTTTAGTCATTTAGCAGACGCTCTTATCCAGAGCAACTTACAGTTAGTGAGTGCATACATTTTCATACTGGCACCCCCGTGGGAAACGAACCCACAACCCTGGCGTTGCAAGCGCCATGCTCTACCAACTGAGCTACAGGGCTACTTTTTTTTAGGGGGACAGCCCTACTTTTGTGAAGGTTTGGTGTGGTATGCTATTATTAGGCTTAGCTACTGCAGGCCTATGAAGGCAGTGCGCACCAGCGCTCCAACTGACTCCGACAGTTGAACTTGAGGTGAGGAAGAATGTTTTAGGCCTACCGGAGTTACTCCTTTAATCTAACAATATAATGCTTATCTCTATAGAAAATATTCAGATAGAACATTTACAAATTAGCCTCCTTCTGTACGCCTATATCTGTATAGCAGTAGTAGCCATCTGACAGGTAGCCTATAAAGAAATGCATGTCGGTGTCGGAAACATGGCTCCGGCATATCTCTATCTTTCTCTCCGTCTCTCCAGGGCTAGGCCTAAGCTTCCCTTCCTTTACAGTGAGGGAAAAAAGTATTTGATCCCCTGCTGATTTTGTACGTTTGCCCACTGACAAAGACATGATCAGTCTAGAATTTTAATGGTAGGTTTATTTGAACAGTGAGAGACAGAATAATAACAAAAAAAAATTATAAATTGATTTGCATTTTAATAAGGGAAAAAAGTATTAGACCCCTCTGCAAAACATGACTTAGTACTTGGTGGCAAAACCCTTCTTGGCAATCACAGAGGTCAGACGTTTCTTGTAGTTGGCCACCAGGTTTGCACACATCTCAGGAGGGATTTTGTCCCACTCCTCTTTGCAGATCTTCTCCAAGTCATTAAGGTTTCGAGGCTGACGTTTGGCAACTCGAACCTTCAGCTCCCTCCATTTTCAATGCCCTGGCTGAGAGAAGGAGGTTTTCACCCAAGATTTGACGGTACATGGCCCCGTCCATCGTCCCTTTTGATGCGGTGAAGTTGTCCTGTCCCCTTAGCTGAAAAACACCCCCAAAGCATAATGTTTCCACCTCCATGTTTGACGGTGGGGATGGTGTTCTTGGGGTCATAGGCAGCATTCCTCCTCCTCCAAACACGGCGAGTTGAGTTGATGCCAAAGACCTCGATTTTGGTCTCATCTGACCACAACACTTTCACCCAGTTCTCCTCTGAATCATTCAGATGTTCATTGGCAAACTTCAGACGGGCCTGTATATGTGCTTTCTTGAGCAGGGGGACCTTGCGGGTGCTGCAGGATTTCAGTCTTTCACAGCGTAGTGTGTTACCAATTGTTTTCTTGGTGACTATGGTCCCAGCTGCCTTGAGATCATTGACAAGATCCTCCCGTGTAGTTCTGGGCTGATTCCTCACCGTTCTCATGATCATTGCAACTCCACAAGGTGAGATCTTGCATGGAGCCCCAGGCCGAGGGAGATTTGACAGTTATTTTGTGTTTCTTCCATTTGCGAATAATCGCACCAACTGTTGTCACCTTCTCACCAAGCTGCTTGGCGATGGTCTTGTAGCCCATTCCAGCCTTGTGTAGGTCTACAATCTTGTCCCTGACATCCTTGGAGAGCTCTTTGGTCTTGGCCATGGTGGAGAGTTTGGAATCTGATTGATTGCTTCTGTGGACAGGTGTCTTTTTATACAGGTAACAAGCTGAGATTAGGAGCACTCCCTTTAAGAGTGTGTTCCTAATCTCAGCTCATTACCTGTATAAAAGACACCTGGGAGCCAGAAATCTTTCTGATTGAGAGGGGGTAAAATACTTATTTCCCTCATTAAAATGTAAATCAATTCATAACATTTTTGACATGCGTTTTTCTGGATTATTTTGTTGTTATTCTGTCTCTCACTGTTCAAATAAACCTACCATTAAAATTAGGCTGATAATTTCTTTGTCAGTGGGCAAACGTACAAAATCAGCAGGGGATCAAATACTTTTTTCCCTCACTGTATATATGTATTTTTTAAATGTTAATATCAAACAGTGGACGCCTAGGCCTGTATGCATGTAATGCCCTGATGTATTTAGCGCTGAACCCTGAGGTGGACAATTATTGTTTTAGGAAAGTAAAACCAATAAAACAATAGGCTATAAAGTTTTGAATATACTTCACATCGAAACGCAACTAATAGTTTTTTTGTAATTTCTTATAGGCAGTTAAGGACACTTAACTGTGGATTATTTGGCCAATATCACTTGTTTATTGATTGCGCTGCAGCACCCAGTTGGAGGTTTCTTTCTCCCTCTCGGATCTGAACGGATCTCTCGGATCCAAACCAGCACGGGTCTGTTTTTCCACAGGTCTGTTTTTCCACAGGTCTGTTTTTCCACAGGTCTGTTTTTCCATGGGCCTTTTCGGAACGTGTCTGACTGTCCTCGTTAAAAAAAAAAAAATGTATTTATGCATATCGGTCGGGTGGGAAAGCCATGGAGCCATTTTGGAAGACCTCTAATTTGCCCATTACTAGGTTAATAACCTCTGACGTAATGACGACATCTGTCTACCTGTTGTTCAAACAATGGTTTACAAGAGAACATTATGTTAGCTGGAAAGTACCTAAAAAGCAACCCAACTGTTGTTTCCAATGGCCTAAATGGCAAACGGACAATTAGCTAGTTTCCAATAACAAATCCTCTGTAATGATATGAATAACCTGCAGGATGCTGTTTTGGCCTTTTCTATAATTTCTGTGTTAGTGGGAGTTGATCCAGGGCCCATTAGAACTGTGTATTTCAGTTATTGTTGGAACTCTGCATTGTTCTATTGACTGACTGTACTAAGGTGCAGGGCAGAGGAAGCTCCTTAGTTCCTTTCATATTGCTAACACATTTCCCTTCTCCCGCTCTCTCCACCTCTTTCCCCCACATTTCCTCTCTCACTCCACCCTCTTTACTCTCCCTCCTTCCCCTTGTTTCTCTCTCCATTCACCTCCCTCTCCTCTTCCAGGCCTGTAGCTGAGGGTCAGAACAGCGGTGTGAGCGGCCTGCCAACCTCTATAGTGGTATCCCTGCCTCCCGCCCCCTCTGTCACTGTCCCTCATCCCACCCCTGTTCGTCCCAACAACAGCCTGTCCAACCGCAAGCCTGGCCACCTGCCTCCCAACCTGGAGGACATGAAGGTGGCCGAGTTGAAACTGGAGCTGAAATTGCGAAGCCTCCCTGTCTCAGGGACCAAGACTGAACTCATCGAGAGGCTGAAGCCCTACCAGGAGAGCCCCAGCACCCCGGCCCCTACCACAGTCCCAACCCCCGGCCCTAACACCCTCCCCTCCTCAGTTCCTGTAGAGGTAGGCTCATCCCCCGCACTTCTCCTACCTGCCCACCAGGTGGCACCAGAGAGCATGAGCGCCACACCCCCAGTGTCCCCAATCCCCACAGACCTCGCCACCTTCAGAGACGACAGCGTGATGCCAAGGGTATCCAAGCTCCTTTGCGACCCCCAGAGGGTGAGCCTCTGTCGGACAGGCGCGGGGATGTCCCCCCTTGGGCTGGATGTTGTCCCTGGTCGTGTCCCGGAGGAGAAGGACCGGCGGCTCCATGAAAAGGAACGTCAGATCGAGGAGCTGATGAGGAAGCTGGAGCAGGAGCAGAGGCTGGTGGAGGAGCTCAAGATGCAGCTGGATGTGGAGAAGAAGACCCAGCCTCTCCAGGGACCCTCCTCAGACACCGTCCCCATGATCCAGACCTCAAACGCGGTCAAAATGGGAGGCAGGGTCCTTCCTAACTGCTCAGCCATGGTTAACTCAACCCTGGCCCCCCAGACTCTCCCCACTGTGGTGAAGGTAGAAGATGTAATTTGTAACACCAGCACCCACCCCCATTCGGCCCCCAGCCTGCCCCAGTTCTTCTTCAGCCACCAGGGTGCAGTGTCCCAGGTTCTAGGCCAGTCTGTTTCCCAGACCCTACTCACGGCCCAGGATGGCTCTACTCAGATCCTCCTTCCTGTCCTCCAGGCTACGTTGTCAAATCAAGCCCCAGGTCTGATGCAGGCCTCCATCTCCCAGCTGCAGACCACCAAGATGGAGACAGCCTCCACTCAGCAGATAACTAATCACAACCACATTTTGCAGGTGAGTCAAGTCACGGTGCTCATACACTGATCTCTCACATAGATCGTCTTAAATCAGGTTACAGACCAGTTAACTAGGCCTAAGACCTCTAGACTTAGCAAGTGCTGTAATATTAGCAGGCTAGTTAATTGGTTTCGTTAAACTATGCTCCAGTATTTTAACCCCCTTCTGTGTCTGTTCTACAGACTGTTACAGTTTGTAACGTCCCTGGCTCTGGGATGGTGGAGAACCACACTAGGACCAACATGCCACCCCAGTGTTTCCTGAGCAGCTCCCCAGATAACAGGCTCTCACCCCGGGAGGCTTCACCAAGCCACAACCTCTCCAATGGGCCTGTCAACAAGGTACGCTTTCTCTATTTATTATTAGGAAAACATCATCCTCTAACCTAAATGTGATGAAAAAATACATATTGTAAACCTATCTTTCCAGTTCCAGTTTTCTTTTTTTCTCTTTCAAATCCTTTCAAATCTTACATTGGGTATGCAGTGCCTTCGGAAAGTATTCAGACCCCTTGACCTTTTCCACATTTTGGTACGTTACAGCCTTATTCTAAAATTAAACAAAGTCCTCAGCAGTCTACACACAATACCCAATAATGAAAAAGCAAAAACAGGTATTTAGAAAATTTTGCAAATGTATTAATAATTAAAAACAGAAATACCTATTTTTTTTGGGGGGGGGTAGATCAGCTTAATATTGCAGATTGTAACTTCCATCAATGTAATTGTCTGCATCACTTCCAATCCCCCATGTTTATTTATTTATTTTTATATATATATATATATATATATATATATATATATATACATATACACACACACACACATACATACACATATACACACACATACATACATACATATCCTTAAATTTTTTTATATATATATTCCCCTTTTACTTTCCAACCCCGCCACTCTTTCCCTACTTGGAGTAAACTAGTGAACAACAATGCTTAGGCCTCTACTTCCAGCTTATACTTACTATCTACATTTTATGGACACAGTCAATTTTACAATAATTACATTTTGTTTGTTCTTTCTCCTGAACTTCTTCTACTCTCAGCCTCTCCGATCATTTTCATGATGTCCATCCGGTTTGCTTCTATATGCCATAACTTTCTAACTGTGCTCCTTCACAATTAGAAAGATATGGCATAAGTACATAAGTATTCAGACCCTTTGCTATGAGAGTCGAAATTGAGCTCAGGTGCATCCTGTTTCCATTGATCATCCTTGAGATGTTTCTACAACTTGATTGGAGGCCACCAATGGTAAATTCAAATGATTGAACATGATTTGGAAAGGCACACACCTATATAAGGTTCCACAGTTGACAGTGCATGTCAGAGCAATAACCAAGCCATGAGGTCGAAGGAATTGTCCGTAGAGCTCCGAGACAGGATTGTGTCGAGGCACAGATCTGGGGAAGGGTACAAAACATTTCTGCAGCATTGAAAGTCCTCAAGAACACAGTGGCCTCCATCATTCTTAAATGGAATAAGTTTGGAAACAACAAGACTCTTCCTAGAGCTGGCCTCCCGGCCAAACTGAGCAATCTGGGGAGAAGGGCCTTGGTCAGGGAGGTGACCAAAAACCCAATGGTCACTCTGACAGATCTTTAGAGTTCCTCTGTGGACATGGGAGAACCTTCCAGAAGGACAACCATCTCTGCAGCACTCCACCAATCAGGCCTTTATGGTAGAGTGGCCAGACGGAAGCCACACACCCTCTTGGAGTTTGCCGAAAAGGCACCTAAAGACTCTCAGACCATGAGAAACAAGATTTTCTGGTCTGATGAAACCAAGATTGAACTCTTTGGCCTGAATGCCAAGCGTCACATCTGGAGGAAACCTGCCACCATCCCTACGGTGAAGCATGGTGGTGGCAGCATGCTGTGGGGATGTTTTTCAGCGGCAGGGACTGGGAGACTGGTCTGGATGAAGGCAAAGATGAACGGAGCAAAGTACAGAGAGATCCTTGATGAAAACCTGATCCAGAGCGCTCCGGACCTCAGACTGGGGCCAAGGTTCACCTTCCAACAGGACAATGACCCTAAGCACATAACCAAGACAACGCAGGAGTGGCTTCAGGACAAGTCTCTGAATGTCCTTGAGTGGCCCAGCCAGAGCCCAGACTTGAACCCGATCGAACATCTCTGGAGAGACCTGAAAATAGCTGTGCAGAAACGCTCCCCATCCAACCTGACAGAACTTGTAGCGTCCCCAAGAAGACTTGATGCTGTAATCGCTGCCAAAGGTGTTTCAACAAAGTACTGAGTTAAAGGGTCAGAATACTTATGTAAATGTAATATATTTACGTTTTTTATTTTTAATAAATTAGCAAAAACTTGAAAAACCTGTTTTTGCTTAGTCATTATGGGGTATTGTGTGTAGATTGATGTGGGGGGGAATAAAAAATAAATAATCCATTTTAGAATAAGGCTGTAACATAACAAAATGTGGAAAACGTCAAGGGGTCTGAATACTTTCCAAATGCACTGTATAAGTCTTTGTTACAGACAAGGTAGGTTGTGTTTGTTAAATATTTTCCTCTTCTCTCAATTCCTCCAGTCCCCCTCTCCATCTCCATCCCAGCCTGCCTTCATCCTCCACCCCTCCTCCCTCGTTACCCAGCCCCCCAAGACCAGGGAGCCCCCCCGCTATGAGGATGCACTTAAACAGACCCGCAACCTGCAGCAAGCCAACAACCTCACACAGGTGAACACTAGGGTTGAATGGCAATATCCATGATTTACCGCCCAAAACCACTCCCTTTTCAAGGGATAAATAACTGTGAGAAACCGGTAAATTATAATAAATTATTTATATGAACAGCATGACGTGAAATGGAACTGTTAAATTATATGCGATGTCTACATCTGGATTCTCTACGGCCTTCTCTCTGGTCAATGCATGATGAATCATCAAAGCTTAGGGTGGGGACAGACCGCCCATCTCAGTATAGACCTATCATCTCATCATGGTAACTTTTTTAATTGTGACAGGTAGACCTTCATTTGCTGCAGCATATAGCCTATGCTACAGTTATATAAAGACCGAATGCCCATCTAATTGACACATCTCCATCTGGCTTTCGGGGGTCAACTTAATTTTTTATTGTAGCTGCAGAGTTTTAAAACACTCCTATATCGTTGCTTTTAGTCAATGTACAAGCGAACACTCTCTCGCAGTCTTTCTCTCTCTACATCCACTCCATTTAAATTGCATCCAAAATAGATAATCCTGTTCAAGATTGATATATAGGCCTATATACAGTGGGGAGAACAAGTATTTGATACACTGCTGATTTAGCAGGTTTTCCTACTTACAAAGCATGTAGAGGTCTGTAATTTTTATCATAGGTACACTTCAACTGTGAGAGACGGAATCTAAAACAAAAATCCAGAAAATCACATTGTATGATTTTTAAGTAATTCATTTGCATTTTATTGCATGACATAAGTATTTGATACATCAGAAAAGCAGAACTTAATATTTGGTACAGAAACCTTTGTTTGCAATTACAGAGATCATACGTTTCCTGTAAGTCTTGACCAGGTTTGCACACACTGCAGCAGGGATTTTGGCCCACTCCTCCATACAGACCTTCTCCAGATCCTTCAGGTTTCGGGGCTGTCGCTGGGCAATATGGACTTTCAGCTCCCTCCAAAGATTTTCTATTGGGTTCAGATCTGGAGACTGGCTAGGCCACTCCAGGACCTTGAGATGCTTCTTACGGAGCCACTCCTTAGTTGCCCTGGCTGTGTGTTTCGGGTCGTTGTCATGCTGGAAGGCCCAGCCACGACCCATCTTCAATGCTCTTACTGAGGGAAGGAGGTTGTTGGCCAAGATCTCGCGATACATGGCCCCATCCATCCTCCCCTCAATGCGGTGCAGTCGTCCTGTCCCCTTTGCAGAAAAGCATCCCCAAATAATTATGTTTTCACCTCCATGCTTCACGGTTGGGATGGTGTTCTTGGGGTTGTACTCATCCTTCTTCTTCCTCCAAACACGGCGAGTGGAGTTTAGACCAAAAAGCTATATTTTTGTCTCATCAGACCACATGACCTTCTCCCATTCCTCCTCTGGATCATCCAGATGGTCATTGGCAAACTTCAGACGGGCCTGGACATGCGCTGGCTTGAGCAGGGGGACCTTGCGTGTGCTGCAGGATTTTAATCCATGACGGCGTAGTGTTTTACTAATGGTTTTCTTTGAGACTGTGGTCCCAGCTCTCTTCAGGTCATTGACCAGGTCCTGCCGTGTAGTTCTGGGCTGATCCCTCACCTTCCTCATGATCATTGATGCCCCACGAGGTGAGATCTTGCATGGAGCCCCAGACCGAGGGTGATTGACCGCCATCTTGAACTTCTTCCATTTTCTAATAATTGCGCCAACAGTTGTTGCCTTCTCACCAAGCTGCTTGCCTATTGTCCTGTAGCCCATCCCAGCCTTGTGCAGGTCTACAATTTTATCCCTGATGTCCTTACACAGCTCTCTGGTCTTGGCCATTGTGGAGAGGTTGGAGTCTGTTTGATTGAGTGTGTGGACAGGTGTCTTTTATACAGGTAACGAGTTCAAACAGGTGCAGTTAATAAAGGTAATGAGTGGAGAACAGGAGGGCTTCTTAAAGAAAAACTAACAGGTCTGTGAGAGCCGGAATTCTTACTGGTTGGTAGGTGATCAAAGACTTACAGTGGGGGAAAAAAGTATTTAGTCAGCCACCAATTGTGCAAGTTCTCCCACTTAAAAAGATGAGAGAGGCCTGTAATTTTCATCATAGGTACACGTCAACTATGACAGACAAAATGAGAAAAAAAATCCAGAAAATCACATTGTAGGATTTTTTATGAATTTATTTGCAAATTATGGTGGAAAATAAGTATTTGGTCAATAACAAAAGTTTCTCAATACTTTGTTATATACCCTTTGTTGGCAATGACACAGGTCAAACGTTTTCTGTAAGTCTTCACAAGGTTTTCACACACTGTTGCTGGTATTTTGGCCCATTCCTCCATGCAGATCTCCTCTAGAGCAGTGATGTTTTGGGGCTGTCGCTGGGTAACACAGACTTTCAACTCCCTCCAAAGATTTTCTATGGGGTTGAGATCTGGAGACTGGCTAGGCCACTGGTGCAGGTCTACAATTTTGTTTCTGGTGTCCTTTGACAGCTCTTTGGTCTTGGCCGTAGTGGAGTTTGGAGTGTGACTGTTTGAGGTTGTGGACAGGTGTCTTTTATACTGATAACAAGTTCAAACAGGTGCCATTAATACAGGTAACGAGTGGAGGACAGAGGAGCCTCTTAAAGAAGAAGTTACAGGTCTGTGAGAGCCAGAAATCTTGCTTGTTTGTAGGTGACCAAATACTTATTTTCCACCATAATTTGCAAATAAATTCATTAAAAATCCTACAATGTGATTTTCTGGAGAAAAAAAATCTTAATTTGTCTTTCATAGTTGACGTGTACCTATGATGAAATTTACAGGCCTCTCTCATCTTTTTAAGTGGGAGAACTTGCACAATTGGTGGCTGACTAAATACTTTTTTTCCCACTGTATGTCATGCAATAAAATACAAATTAATTACTTAAAAATCATACAATGTGATTTTCTGGATTTTTGTTTTAGATTCCGTCTCTCACAGTTGAAGTGTACCTATGATAAAAATTACAGACCTCTACATGCTTTGTAAGTAGGAAAACCTGCAAAATCGGCAGTGTATCAAAGACTTGTTCTCCTCACTGTGTGTATATATATATATATATATATGTCCTAGCCTACCTCTTTCAGGTAATACATTCAATGCAGGATTAGCCTTAAATTTAGGTAATTAATGATGGGTTATGCATAATAAGCTACTAATTTACATGGACCTGTGATCCGCTGGCCTCTCTGTAAAAAAGGCTCCTTAGCTCTTGGAGTCCCATGCAGGAAAAGCTAGACAATATTTTTTTTTTGAATTTCTTATACCAATAGACTATATACCAAAAGAGCTCTTGTTTGCTGAATGTTAAATACAGCAGCTAATAGAACTCACTGGTAGTTTGAAAGAAGAGCGAACGTGTGATGGCGGTAGGCTATAGCAGTTATATATTCAGACCCATAACCATTCAGTCTTCGTGAAAAGAAGTGAAAGCCTTCTACATCTAATTCTAGTCCTATATTATTCAAGGATGTCATTAGAATGATTAAGATAAGGACAATTAAACTTTATTTAATTTAACTGTTGAAAGCGATGAAGGAATGAAGCAACACTAAAGAGACAAAGAGGAGGTAGGCTAATAATATTTGTGGAAATATTATGAAAATTGTAAATCAAATTTGCTAGCCTATACATGTGACTTCATAGGCCGCATGTGCTGCACCAGAATTGCATGTTCTCTTCTGCTTCATAATGGTTTGAACAATGTGCGTAATTCCATTCCATATAATACAGGATAATACAATACAGTACAGTAATACAGTTCACACTCAAAAATATTAGTCTTGTTTCATTTATTTACCCGAGAGAGCATATAGCTAGCTACATCTATGTGCTTTTATGTTTTTCTGTCGTGCGTAATGTGCAGTAGCTATGTATTGGATAATGGCACAATCATTTGTTTTTTTGGGGGCTTGGGCTCATTAAATGTATTTAATCAGGCTCAGGTTGCATCAGGTTTGAATTTTCAATCAAAGCTCTAATCAAATGCAGACATAGGCCTATTTATATGTTCTATATTGCTTTTGAATGACACTTCTGGTTTTGGCTGGAAATACCAGGTTACCTGGGAGAAAAGGTATTTATTCTCGGGATTAAACATTTTTTATATCCTGGAAAATATTCAACCCTAGTGACCCTAGACAGACAGACACACACACACACACACACACACACACAGACAGACAGACAGACACACACACCGACACACACACACACACACACAGTAACACACACATTCACAAATGTATGATGTGCGCTCTCCCAAGTCCTGAAGGACTGTAATGCTATTGGTCACACCCGAGAGACTGTCATGTTATTGGTTATGCATCTCCACCCTCTTATTGGCTCTTTCTCAGGTTTCCATGGCAACCAGCCAGCAGATGGATGACCTGTTTGACATCCTGATTCAGAGTGGAGGTGAGAACTCATAGCATAAAGAAACGTTTACACCTTTAGCTCCTTGTCCTAACCCTGAAGGGACTGACTGAGTTACGACGATCTGGTCTTTTTCATATCTGCAAGCAATGATAAGGTTGGAGTTTCTTTTCAGCCTGTGTTATAATACAGGTGAATAATCTTTGCTATCCTATTCCTGCCTCTTCTCTCCTCCAGAGATCACTCCGTTCATCCAGCAGGACCTGCCTTCTCTAAGTACTAAGACTGTCCCTGTCACAGCCAACATCTCTACCCTCCCTGTCAACACCGCCCTGTCCAGACCCCCTCCACAGATCCAGGTAGCTCCCCCTCACATCCCTCCCTTCAACCCCCTGCCCCTCCCCAGCCTGGCCTCCGACAACCAGCTGGAGGCTTTCCTGGAGGGGACTCTGAACTACCCGTCCCCAACCACGGACCCCCGCACTCTAGGTCTGATCGAGGAGCTGCAGTCCCAGCTCCTGGATCAACCCTACTCCCCCATGGACACCTCGGCGCTGTCCTTCTGCGACTCCACATCTCCCCTTTCCTCCCTCAACATGGGCCTGTCCGACACAGTCCTGGACAACATGGAGTGGCTGGACCTAAGCATGCCGCCCGACCCCGCGGGGGGGCTCACGCCCCTGGAGATTCCTTCAGACTTCCTGGATACACACGACCTGCAGCTGCACTGGGACTGAGGGAGAAGGACAAGGAGATGGATGGAGTGAGGAAGGAAGAGGAGGAGTGATGTAGGGATAGAGGGACTCAAGGTAACAAATGCAGACCTTGTAAGTAAGGTTAGTCCTCCTTGTGTAGTTGAAAGTTTTAACAAATAATTGTATTTTTTCTATGCCATATTATAAGATTAGCCAGCTGGTGATGGGGTCATTGGATGTTTCATAATAGAGTACTGGGACCAGAGCCAAATGAACAAGGAGGCAGACGGTATGTAAATATCCTGTAAATGACAGTTATTGGAACCAGAACAAGGTTAGATGTTCCCTCAGCCCTGCTGGAGTTTTTATTGGGTTGGGCAAAGCTTTCCCTATACGACACATGGTAGTCAGTCTTATGGTGTTCCGCTTTCCTTGCGGTGAACACGAGGATGTGTTAACTTAGCATGCGTTTCACATCAGTCATACTACAGGGTCTGGATCTACAGCCATTGCATGCTGCTGTGCCATACAGTCAGTATGAGAATGTGGTTTGTTTATTACAGATCTGTTGTGCATAAGCCACGACAAACAGCATAACTGACAGAAGTAAAACTGACAGAGTACAAGGCTGTTTTTGTTTTGTTGCGACATAGCTATATTTGGTATTGGGACATAGCTACATATTGTATTGGATGAGACTGTTTTTTCCTGAACAAAACAGACACTATGGTCAGTTTGACTATTTAAGCAATTAACTGAACTGACGCTGAGAACAAAGACTCACTCCTATTGGATGAGGAGGGGTGGACTCCTCCCACTCTGAGCTATGCACTAAGGAGGCGGGCCTTACACCTGCACCTCACACAAGGAAATCTGAATCACGGATAAAGATTTTAATGAACCGTTTATTGAAATGATGTCGATCCACGTGTTGGTTATCTTTGTGTACTTTCAGTTCAAGTAAGTCCCAAGTTGATCCATCTGAATGAAAATGGAGACTTTACATTGTTGGCAGCTTTATCTTCTGAAAGACAACTGACGTATCTTTGGCAAGGGAACAAATATGGTATCACACAGGTACACTACATAGAGGTTAATGTGTGTATACTTACTGTATGCTAGCCTGGTCCCAAGTCTGTTTGTGCTCATTGTCAAGCCAAACATGTTTGACATGACATTGAGTGACAAGGAGTTGGCATGATAGTCTGAGTGCCAGTTGTTTTGTACTAACTGTATGCTATGGTGTTTGACATGTTTTAATGTGGCTGCATGACCTCTGGCGGAAAGAGGTGCTATACTGTCTGTCCTGAAATCTGTCTGTCAATTCTCTGCATTTGTCTCTGTGTGTCTGTCACTGTATATCTGTGGTTCTTTCTCTGTGAGGAAGTATGCATGTGTCTGTAAGTACGTGTGTCTGTGTGTGTCCTTTCTGTGTGTCTCTGTCTTGTTGAATGCAGGTTTTAATGTGTGATATCGGGCTATATTTGTCTGTTACTTTGAGTCATCTTTATTTTTATAAGACAAATGATCAACTTTTACAGGCTGAGTTTTCAAAAGGATTGTCTCACAGAAAAGCTTTGTATGACTGTTCCATCTGTCCTGTTTGGTTTGTGTTATGTGGTCAAAACGCACAGTAAACACCCACAGTGGTGTGACCAACAGAGTTAAACTAAGAGGGACTAAATGTAGATGCTGGTATTGCCATTCCATTTGGTGGATGAATTTGATGATGAAGATGATGATTATAGGTACAGTTGAAGTCGGATGTTTGCATACACTTAGGTTGAAGTCATTAAAACAAGTTTTTGAACCACTCCACAAATTTCTTGTTAACAAACTATAGTTTTGGCAAGCCGGTTAGGACATCTACTTTGTGCATGACACAAGTAATTTTTCCAACTATTGTTTACAGACAGATTATTTCACTTATAATACACTGTATCACAATTCCAGTGGGTCAGAAGTTTACATAGATTAAGTTGACTGTGCCTTTAAACAACTTGGAAAATTCCAGAAAATGATGTCATGGCTTTAGAAGCTTCTGATAGGCTAATTGACATCATTTGAGTCAATTGGAGGTGTACCTGTGGATGTATTTCAAGGCCTATACAAGTCTGGTTCATCCTTGGGAGCAATTTCCAAACGCCCGAAGGTACCACGTTCATCTGTACAAACAATAGTACGCAAGTATAAACACCATGGGACCACGCAGCTGTCATACCGCTCAGGAAGGAGACGCGTTCTGTCTCCTAGAGATGAACGTACTTTGGTGCGAAATGTGCAAATCAATCCCAGAACAACAGCAAAGGGCCTTGTGAAGATGCTGGAGAAAACAGGTACAAAAGTAACTATATCCACAGTAAAACAAGTCCTATATCGACATAACCTGAATGGCCGCTCAGCAAGGAAGAAGCCACTGCTCCAAAACCGCCATAAAAAAGCCGGACTACGGTTTGCAACTTCACATGGGGACAAAGATCGTACTTTTTGGAGAAATGTCCTCTTGTCTGATGAAACACAAATAGAACTGTTTTCCATAATGACCTTCGTTATGTTTGGAGGAAAAATGGGGTGCTTGCAAGCTGAAGAACACCATCCCAACCGTTAAGCACGGGGTGGCAGCATCATGCTGTGGGGGTGCTTTGCTGCAGGAGGGACTGGTGCACTTCACAAAATAGATGGCATCATGAGGAAGGAAAATTATGTGGATATATTGAAACAACATCTCAAGACATCAGTCAGGAAGTTAAAGCTTGGTCGCAAATGGGTCTTCCAAATGGACAATGACCCCAAGCATACTTCCAAAGTTGTTGCAAAATGGCTTAAGGACAACAAAGTCAAGGTGTTGGAGTGACCATCACGAAGCCCTGACCTCAATCCTATAGAAAATTTGACTCAGTTACACCAGCTCTGTCAGGAGGAATGGGCCAAAATTCACCCAACTTATTGTGGGAAGCTTGTGGAAGGCTACCCGAAACGTTTGACCCAAGTTAAACAATTTAAAGGCAATGCTACCAAATACTAATTGAGTGTATGTAAACTTCTGAACCACTGGGAATGTGATAAAAGAAAGAAAAGCTGAAATAAATAATTCTCTCTACTATTATTCTGACATTTCACATTCTTAAATAAAATGGTGATCCTAACTGACCTAAGACAGGGAATTTTTACTAGGATTAAATGTCAGGAATTGTGAAAAACTGAGTTTCAATGTATTTGGCTAAGGTGTATGTAAACTTCCGACTTCAACTGTATAATACCTTTTTAAATGTGCATTGTGTAGTTCTACCTGGCATATCATGTCAAACGAGTTTGTAATATTCAGCATCTCAATCCAAATATTATTCTGATCAATATTGTATAGAACTAATACGGTCATACTTTATCATGGCTTTATTTTTATGTTTGAACAATCATTCTTATCCAACAAGTCAAACACTAAGGAAAACCTATAGGCAGGTAATATTGCCAAATACTGTATCATTAGGAACCAAATGCTTGTAACTGTGGTTTAGGGCTATCAAGGAATTATTTGTTTTTCAATTGTTACCAAAAAAGGCAGTGAAACATTGGTGAATATCTATTGTTGACACTAAAAATTGTATTTATCAAATTGTTGTGTTACAAAATCAATCGTCTTTTCTATATATACGCAAGAGGAAGATTACTGTATATGTTTTTTACCACTCATGCCAGAAATATATGGCCAAATGCATCAATATACATGGCTATGCTGTAAATGTGACAGTTGGATTCTAAAACATTTTGATTCTGAATCATGTCAAACCTGTGTACAGCTACTGTTAATAGGATGTTAGTGAAGCAATAAGACCATAGCCTTACACTTACAGGACTGGTGCATTTGTATTGTCAGTACCTTATAACAAGATGTCACAGAACAGCAGATTCAACTTCAGCACTTCATCATGTTGATCATTGCAAGCAAATAATATTGATTTGGGCCTACCTAATTCAGTGACTTCTGTACGGTACTGTCTCACGCTCAACCCTGGTTCTTTGTCTGAAATGTAACTACACTGAACTAAAGTATAAACGTAACATGCAACATTTTCAAAGATTTTACTGAGTAACAGTTCATATAAGGAAATCAGTCAATTGAAATAAATAAATTAGTCCCTAATCTATGGATTTCACATGACTGGGAATACAGATATGCATCTGTTGGTCACATATACTTAAAAAAAATTTAAGTATGGATCAGAAAACCAGTCAGTATCTGGTGTGACCACCATTTGCCTCAGGCAGCGCGACACATCTCCTTCACATAGAGTTGATCAGGCTGTTGATTGTGGCCTGTGGAATGTTGTCCCACTCTTCTTCAATGGCTGTGCAAAGTTGCTGGATATTGGCGGGAACTGGAACACGCTGTCATACACGTCGATCCAGAGCATCCCAAACATGCTCAAAGGGTGACATGTCTGAGGATGCAGGCCATGGAGGAACTGGGACATTTTCAGCTTCCAGGAATTGTGTACAGATCTTTCCGACATGGGGCCATGCATTATCATGCTGAAACATAAGGTGATGGCGGCGGATGAATGGCACGACAATGGGCCTCAGGATCTCTGTGCATTCAAATTGCAATCGATAAAATGCAATTGTGTTCGTTGTCCGTAGCTTATGCCTGCCCATACCATAACCCCACCGCCACCGTGGGGCACTCTGTTCACAACGTTGACATCAGCAAACCTCTCGCCCACACGACGCCATACATGCTGTCTGCCATCTACCCGGTACAGTTGAAACCGTAATTCATCCGTGAAGAGCACACTTCTCCAGCGTGCCAGTGGCCATCGAGGGTGAGCATTTGCCCACTGAAGTCTTTTACGACGCCGAACTGCAGTCAGGTCAAGACTCTGGTGAGGACGACGAGCACGCAGATGAGCTTCCTTGAGACGATTTATGACAGTTTGTTCAGAAATTCTTTGGTTGTGCAGATCCACAATTTCATCAGCTGTCTGGTTGGCTGGATGTGAAGGTCCTGTGCTGGCGTGGTTACACGTGGTCTGCGCTTGTGAGGCCGGTTGGACATACTGCCAAATTCTCTAAAACAACATTTAGGTGGCTTATGGCAGAGAAATTAACATTCCATTCTCTGACAACAGCCCTGGTGGACATTCCTGCAGTCAGCATGCCAATTGCACACTCCCTCAAAACTTGACTGCAAATTTCAGAGTGGCCTTTTATTGTCCCCCAGCACAAGATGCACCTGTGTAAACATGCTTTTTAATCAGCTTCTTGATATGCCACACCTGACAGATGGATTCATTATCAAGCAAAGGAGAAATGCTCACTAACACAAAATGAAAGAGATAAGCTTTTTGTGCGTATGGAATATTTCTGGGATATTTTATTTCAGCTCATGAATCATGGGACCAACACTTTATATGTTGCGTTTATATTTTTGTTCAGTGTAGTAAGACATCTGCCACTCAACCTCCCCACACACACTGTCAAGTCTCTGTCATCGTCTGTACGCCATACATATGTTTTGCACATTGTGTACACATTTATATATATATATGTCATGCATATTTTTATAAATGTGTAGCACATCCATAATATCTATTTTGTAAATAATACAAAAAAATATGTATATATGTACTGTATGGCTTTGTGTCAATAAAATGTGGTGCATTGTGAAAGTCTCTCCTAACATCTGCAGCTGGAGACCAGCGTTCACGTGGGGTTTGGTCCTGGGTTGCTGAGATTACGCTCACGTGGGGTTTGGTCCTGGGTTGCTGAGATTACGCTCACGTGGGGTTTGGTCCTGGGTTGCTGAGATTACGCTCACGTGGGGTTTGGTCCTGGGTTGCTGAGATTACGCTCACGTGGGGTTTGGTCCTGGGTTGCTGAGATTACGCTCACGTGGGGTTTGGTCCTGGGTTGCTGAGATTACGCTCACGTGGGGTTTGGTCCTGGGTTGCTGAGATTACGCTCACGTGGGGTTTGGTCCTGGGTTGCTGAGATTACGCTCACGTGGGGTTTGGTCCTGGGTTGCTGAGATTACGCTCACGTGGGGTTTGGTCCTGGGTTGCTGAGATTACGCTCACGTGGGGTTTGGTCCTGGGTTGCTGAGATTACGCTCACGTGGGGTTTGGTCCTGGGTTGCTGAGATTACGCTCACGTGGGGTTTGGTCCTGGGTTGCTGAGATTACGCTCACGTGGGGTTTGGTCCTGGGTTGCTGAGATTACGTTCACGTGGGGTTTGGTCCTGGGTTGCTGAGATTACGTTCACGTGGGGTTTGGTCCTGGGTTGCTGAGATTACGCTCACGTGGGGTTTGGTCCTGGGTTGCTGAGATTATTGTGAAAGTAAAGTTTTACTGTGAATATCTTTGAAATTATGTTAATCTGTCAAAACAAACACAGCATCATACTCCATTGTATAATTGTACTATGTAAAAGTAGTACACATTTGAGGCATTATTACATTTAGATTTGATGTTATGTAGTTCCACATGATCAATCAAAACACTTGAAAGGAAAATAGAAAATTGAGTCCACAGCATTTGCCAGGTTAATTCAGTTACGTTGACCTTTGCCACTGTAAAGAAAGAGGGAAGTAGAATATACAGGCCATTGTTGCTTTCTGGTAAATGTTTGCATGTGTTGTAGAGTCCTAGGTTGTTTTGTGGTAAATGGCTTACCATCAGTGCATCACCTGCTTTCCCTTTGACATTTGCATGACCAATGCATTGCTTAAGCTTCAATGATCTCGTTCTTATAAGGTATCTGGTGAGTATAAACATTTTCTCTCTTAAGAATACACAAAAATATGTTCTAAAGATAAGGAAGCAAGGAATGTAAAGGAATGTGGTATTTTCTTTCAGTATGAGTGCTATTCCAGTCCATCATTTTGGTCAGAAAGTCTTCTCAGGTTCTGTTGGTATCTGCACTGTTGATAGAACCAAAATGCTGTCACAGCTGGACACTGCTAGAGATTCCCAGTGATTTTAAGCATCTTCCTCCAATTTTTTCACAGAGAGAAACTATCATCCCAACAACAGTCAATCTCCAATCACCCTCAAACTGTGATCATAACGCAGTACTGTACGGCATCGGCCACCAGGTGTCATTAGTGCGTTGTCCAGTCTTTCGCTTTCTCATGTCCCACAGTCCAGTCTAGGGATGTAGCTCAGTTGGTAGAGCATGGCGTTTGCAACGCCAGGGTTGTGAGTTCGATTCCCACGGGGGGCCAGTATGAAAAAAATATATATATACAAAAATAATGTATACACTCACTAACTGTAAGTCGCTCTGGATAAGAGCGTCTGCTAAATGACTAAAATGTAAAATAACGCCCATCCAACCGCTCCATTCACTGTCCCTCTCTATCCAACACCAGAGAAACTGTAGCCAGTGATACAGTATCTGTAGAAGTACCATTCTGTCCTCACATCCGTTCTGCTGTGTAGATGTTGCTGTGACACTCAGGGCATCGATGTCTGACGTCCTTTAGGTTGTCCAAGCAGAAGGGGATGAGACAGCACCCAGCCACACACCTGGCAGAGAGGGTTTATACAGTATTGTAAACTGGGTGGTTCGAGCTCTGGGTGGTTCGAGCTATACCACGGATATGACAAAACATTTATTTTTACTGTTCTAATTATGTTGGTAACCAGTTTATAATAGCAATAAGGCACCTCGGGCCTTATTACTTAATTAAGACAGACAAAAGTAAGAACACATCTGGTTTCTACTTATCTGGGTGTAGGATAAAGTTGCCCCTAGACTTTGATCCAAGGTCAGATGTTTTAGAGTAGGAGTGCTGACTTAGGATCAGTTTTGCCTTTTTAGATCACAATGAATAAGACTACATGAATAGGGGGCAGCAGTTCCTAAATCAGCACTCCTACTCTGTGACGTTTGATACTAGAACTTGTCTGACAGGACTCACCCTAACATGCTGGACACAAAGCATAGCATATAGGCTGCCCCGCCTATTTTGCGATACGTTTCCGTGGTGATGACCTGCTCGCAGAAAGGGCATTGGACGATCGCTGGGTCACTATTGAGTTTCTCCACCTCCACTATGGCTTCTGGAGGAGAGGAGAAAACAGGCATTGTCGTCTCCATCTATGCTCATCTGGACATACTGTAGATGGAGAAATGACAAGTACTGTAGAGCTTATGTCAGAGCTTGACACATTATCGGAGTATCTCATGTATCTACTCTACCTAAATGTTTATCCTACCAATGCTCACACACACATACCTGGCGCAGCAGGAGGTGTAGCCTGTAGTGTATATTGTGTCATGTCCTTTGGTGTGTTACAAGGTAGGACATACACTCCATTATAGGGGGCCATGAGTTCCTCTGTATAGTCTGTAAAGATGAAAGGCATGTAAAAACAAATGTGTGCTCAGTGATGAGGAAATAAAGGTATGAAGCATCCTATTGACTTCTATCCAAACATGAATGGAAAGCAAAAATCAATAGTTGTTAGATTAGTTTTTACGGACAGGACAAATATCTCTGCTGCACTGTAGGCTCAAACAAACAATCAATCAAGCTTAAAATATCTAGGATAAGGCAGCTTGTTTCAAAATGTATTTGCTGTGTACAGGACAGGTATAGTGAGCAGGTGTCTACCTGACAGTGGCTTGTGTTCAGGCCCAGTGTTGTCTGTCTGTATCTGTAGTAGCTCCTGTTCTCTTTCCACCAAATCATGTAGCTCCTGTTCTATGGCCTCCAGCTCTTTAGGCTCAGACTCCTCTGGGAAAGAGACTGTAGGGGACAGAGCTGGGAGACAGAGGAAGATATGGTTGAAAAGCTTTGGGATTGCTTCAGAACACAAGAAACCAACACTGCTTTTCAATGCCTCAATAAGTAGGGGAGACTGGGATTGGTTGTCTCCAGGGGATGGTTGTCACAGTGCTAGTTACTCACAATCGAAATGGCACTGTCTAGTATTTCAACCTGGACTCAAGGGTACACGTAACATAGTAAATGTAAATCCGTGACACTCCAATTAGTATGATATGTTATGTTTCGTATGGTATGTATTAATTAAGTGGATGTCCATCATCAATTTTGTATATGTTACGAATTTCAATTCGTACAATATGTTACAAATTTGCTAAACTTATGTTACGAATTCCAATATGTTGTCGCAAACGTTTACAAGGTGGCTAACGTTAGTTAGGCTAGGGGTTAGGGTTAAGGTTAGGGTCAGGGGTTAGTTAAAGGGTTAAGGTAAGCTAAAATGCAAAGTTGCAAATGAGCTAAAGCTTTCCGTGATGAGAATCGAACACGCAACCTTTGGGTTGCTAGACGTTCTAACCAACCAACCAACCGCCCTACTTTCATATTTGCCTAAAGTACCTTCTGTCTTATGTAACCATACCAAATGTAACATATCATACTAATTTGAGTGCCCGGATTTATCTTTACTATGTTACGTCTGGTCTATGAGACCAGGCCGAATATTTTTAAGGTTAAAATGTGTGAATTCTTTGAAAGAATGCGTCATGTCTGCAATGGGCGTGAGGTGAAATGTGTATATTTTGGGATGTGAGCACTGTTTGTTTGTTTGACCTGACGAAGATCCATTTTGGTTCGAAACATTGTCAATAAAGCGGTGAATTCGAAGCTTTAACAGTGTGTGGGCCTTCTTGTTCTATACTATTATTCTTCACCTATGACCACAAACTTTTCTTTGAAAGAACTCATCCACTTGGTCAATTCATGTCAGCATGACAAAACACTGAGGTGAGAAGAATGTATGTGTTTCGCATAGGTTAAAGCAATATATATATATATACAGTACACTATATATACAAAATATGTGGACACCCCTTCAAAAAGTGGATTCGGCTATTTCAGCCACACCCGTCGCTGACAGGTGTATAAAATCGAGCACACAGCCATGCAATCTCCATAGACAAACATTGGCAGTAGAATGGCCTTACTGAAGAGCTCAGTGACTTTCAACGTGGCACCGTCATAGGACGCCACCTTCCCAACAAGTCAGTTCATCAAATTTCTGCCCTGCTAGAGCTGCCCCGGTCAACTGTAAGTGAAGTGGAAACGTCTAGGAGCAACAACGGCTCAGCAGCGATGTGAATGGGACCTCCGAGTGCTGAAGCGCTTAGCACGTAAAAATCGTCTGTCCTCGGTTGCAAAACACACTACCGAGTTCCAAACTGCCTCTGGAAGCAACATCAGCACAAGTACTGTACGTCAGAAGCTTCATCAAATGGGTTTCCATGGCTGAGCAGCCACACAAGCGTAAGATCACCATGCACAATGCCAAGTGTCGGCTGGAGTGGTGTAAAGCTCGCCGCCATTGGACTCTGGAGCAGTGGAAACGCGATCTCTTGAGTGAAGAATCACGCTTCACCATCTGGCAGTCCGACGGACAAATCTGGGTTTGGCGGATGCCAGGAGAACGCTACCTGCCCCAATACATTGTGCCAACTGTAAAGTTTGGTAGAGGAGGAATAATGGTCTGGGGCTGTTTTTCATGGTTTGGGCTAGGCCCCTTAGTTCCAGTGAAGGGAAATCTTAATGCTACAGCATACAATGACATTCTAGACAATTCTGTGCTTCCAACTTTGTGCCAACAGTTTGGGGAAGGCCCTTTCCTGTTTCAGCATGACAATGCCCCCGTGTGCAAAGCGATGTCCATACAGAAATGGTTTGATGAGGTCTGTGTGGAAGAACTAGACTGGCCTGCACAGAGCCCTGACCTCAAACCTATCGAACACCTTTGGGATGAATTGGAACGCCGACTGCGAGCCAGGGCTAATCGCCCAACACCAGTGCTCGACCTCACTAATGCTCTTGTGGCTGAATGGAAGCAAGTCCCCGCAGCAATGTTCCAACATCTAGTGGAAAGCCTTCCCAGAAGAGTGGAGGCTGTTATATCAGCAAAGGGGGGACCAACTTCATATTAATGTCCATGATTTTGGAATGACATGTTTGACAGAGCAGGTGTCCACATACTTTTGGTCATGTAGTGTGTGTGTGTGTGTGTGTGTGTGTGTGTGTGTGTGTGTGTGTGTGTGTGTGTATATATTGAACAAAAATATAAACACAACATGCAACAATTAACGATTTTACTGAGTTACAGTTCAGATAAGGAAATCAGTCAATTTAAATAAATAAATTAGGCCCTAATCTATGGATTTCACATGAATGGGCAGGGGCGCTGCCATTGTTGGGCCTGGGAAGGCATAGGCCCACCCACTGGGGAGCCAGGCCCAGCCAATCAGAATGAGTTTTTCTCCACGAAAGGGCATTATTACAGACAAAAATACTTTCATCAGCTGTTCGGGTGGCTGGTCTCTGACGATCCCGCAGGTGAAGAAGCCGGATGTGGAGGTCCTGGGCTTGCGTGGTCTGCGGTTGTGAGGCCGGTTGGACATACTGCCTATTTCTCTAAAACAACATTGGAGGTGGCTTATGGTAGAGGAATGAACATTCAATTATCTTGCAACGGCTCTGGTGGACATTCCTGCAGTCATTATGCCAATTGCATGCTCCCTCAACTTGAGACATCTGTGGCATTGTATTGTGTGACACAACTGCACATTTTAGTGGCCTATTATTGTCCCCAGCACAAGGTGCACCTGTGTAATGATCATGCTGTTTAATCAGCTTCTTGATATGCCACACCTGTCAGGTGGATGGATTATCTTGGCAAAGGAGAAATGCTCAAGAACATGGATGTAAACATATTTGTGCACAACATTTGAGAGAAAGAATGGTTTTGTGCGTTTGGAAAATTTCTGGGATCTTTTATTTCAGCTCATGAAACATCGGACGAACTCTTTACAAGTTGCGTTTATATTTTTGTTAAGTATATATTGCTTAATTTCCTGTTACAAATGAATAAGCTACTAGTGACAACCAACAACATACTGTGTGAAATCCAACCCCACAACAGGGCTGGTTGTCACAAGTGGACAGAGTGTGTTTGATGGCTTTTAACTCCATGTTGGAATAAGATATGAGGATGAAATATGTCCCCATTTAAACCCAATACCTTGGTCTTTCTCCTAATATTGAAAATTGTCTTGTAAGATATACTGGTCCTGAGAAATACACAAGTAAAAAGTCTGACAACCAACCCCGGTTTCCTTGTATGGTTATTATTTTTGTGTATGCACACATGCATGTGTGTGCTGTCTGTCTGTCTGTGTTTGATTCCCCCATAGCCCCACTATTATGATTGCCTTGACCAGACCACTCACCTTCTCTTTCTTTTCTCTTGTTTCTGAACTGCTGCATCTTCAGCAGCATGATCCGCCGGTTGTGGAGCAGCTGCCTCCGGAAGGTGATGAAGGCCAGCTCAGAGGACACCCTACCCAGGTCTGCGGAGACCTGGTTGGGCTCGGAGGAGATGCTCTCAGCTTCTATGGAGAGCTTCTCTGGGTCTTCAGAGATTGTCTCTACCTGCTCTGTGTCAGGCTGCCAGTCTACCCCTGATCCAGCTGATGAAAGGAACTCTGGGTCCTGAGTAGAAAAACTCTCCTCCATTTCCATTCTTTAAAGAAGTTTCACTGTTGCTCCATTGATTTAAGAAGAGAATGCTTGGCTGCTCCAAGATGGAAAAAGACCTGAGGTTCTTCTAACTAACAGATTGAACTGACCTCTGTTAGCTGGTTCTTTTACTTCTCTGGGGCGTCACCTATCAGCTTATGAAGGGCTAAACATAGGCTTTCATGCATTTGCATGTTTTAGTACCCCTGATGACAACAAACCGTTCCAGTGCAGATGGTGCATGGGCACCTGTTTTGAATAGCTGCATGCACACAACCAAATGAGACAAGCGTCGTCACAGAAACCACTTTATGTCACCCCCCCAAAATTTTACGCTTTCCCTGGATGCCACTAGTCTTGCTGAATTTACAATTTAATCTCTCATTTACATTTTTTAAGTCACTCCAACAAAACGATTGAGCTACGATGTAATATTTTGTCATTTAGAAAAGGTTATATATATACAGTGTGTGTGTGTGGATATGGATATATATATATATATATATATATATATATATGTGTGTGTGTGTGTGTGTGTGTGTGTGTGTGTGTGTGTATACAGTGAGGGGAAAAAAGTATTTGATCCCCTGCTGATTTTGTACGTTTGCCCACTGACAAAGAAATGATCAGTCTATAATTTTAATAGTAGGTTTATTTGAACAGTGAGAGACAGAATAACAACAAAAACATCCAGAAAAACACATTATAAATTGATTTGCATTTTAATGAGGGAAATAAGTATTTTACCCCCTCTCAATCAGAAAGATTTCTGGCTCACAGGTGTCTTTTATACAGGTAATGAGCTGAGATTAGGAGCACACTCTTAAAGGGAGTGCTCCTAATCTCAGTTTGTTACCTGTATAAAAGACACCTGTCCACGGAAGCAATCAATCAATCAAATTCCAAACTCTCCACCATGGCCAAGACCAAAGAGCTTATTGTCATGGACAAGATTTTAGACCTACACAAGGCTGGAATGGGCTACAAGACCATCGCCAAGCAGTTTGGTGAGAAGGTGACAACAGTTGGTGCGATTATTCGCAAATGGAAGAAACACAAAAGAACTGTCAATCTCCCTCAGCCTGGGGCTCCATGCAAGAATCTCACCTCGTGGAGTTGCAATGATCATGAGAACGGTGAGGAATCAGCCCAGAACTACACGGGAGGATCTTGTCAATGATCTCAAGGCAGCTGGGACCATAGTCACCAAGAAAACAATTGGTAACACACTACGCCATGAAGGACTGAAATCCTACAGCGCCCGCAAGGTCCCCCTGCTCAAGAAAGTACATATACAGGCCCGTCTGAAGTTTGCCAATGAACATCTAAATGATTCAGAGGAGAACTGGGTGAAAGTGTTGTGGTCAGATGAGTCCAAAATCAAGGTCTTTGGCATCAACTCAACTCGCCGTGTTTGGAGGAGGAGGAATGCTGCCTATGACCCCAAGAACACCATCCCCACCGTCAAACATGGAGGTGGAAACATTATGCTTTGGGGGTGTTTTTCTGCTAAGGGGTCAGGACAACTTCACCACATCAAAGGGACGATGGACGGGGCCATGTACCGTCAAATCTTGGGTGAAAACCTCCTTCCCTCAGCCAGAGCATTGAAAATGGGTAGTGGATGGGTATTCCAGCATGACAATGACCCGAAACACACGGCCAAGGCAACAAAGGAGTGGCTCAAGAAGAAGCACATTAAGGTCCTGGAGTGGCCTAGCCAGTCTCCAGACCTTAATCCCATAGAAAATCAACTGGATTCACCTGGTCAGTCTGTCATGAAAAGAGCAGGTGTTCCTAATGTTTTGTACACTCAGTGTACACTCCCATACCTTTAACCCAGGTATTTGAAAATGTTATTTTAAAGTGTTTGAAAATACTTTGGTTTTTACAAATAGCCATTCAAATACTCAAATTAAAGTGCTTGTTTTGGGCTGTGTATTTGAAAATACTCAAATACACAGAATAAGTATTTTAAATAACAAATACTCAAATAGATATGTATTTGAACCTAGGTCTCAAATACCCCTAATGTAGAGTAAACAATAAACATCATACTGTACCCAGTGAGACTGGCTCTGTTTGACCCCAGCCAGCCACCATAATCATAATCAAGTCAATAAAACATGCAGCCACTTTATCAGAATAGAACAGGAAGTGAGCTAATTCCATCTTGACCTATATTCACAATAATAACTACTGTACGCAACCTCCCATTCACATCACATTGCAACACAATCACCAGCTGCTTTAATCATATAAATCATTGTAACTGTAATCAGTTTATGCAGATAAGAATAGCAGTTGCTGTAACCTTATCGTGTTGGCCAAATTTATTTTTATTGAAGCCTCTTTCATAGTGGTATACAGTCGTGGTCAAAAGTTTTGAGAATGACACAAATATTGGTCTTCACAAAGTTCGCTGCTTCAGTGTTATGAGATATTTTTGTCAGATGTTACTATGGTATACTGAAGTATAATTACAAGCATTCCATAAGTGTCAAAGGCTTTTATTGACAATTACATTAAGTTTATGCAAAGAGTCAATATTTGCAGTGTTGACCCTTCTTTTTCAAGACCTCTGCAATCCGCCCTGGCATGCTGTCAATTAACTTCTGGGCCACATCCTGAATGATGGCAGCCCATTCTTGCATAATCAATGCTTGGAGTTTGTCAGAATTTGTGGGTTTTTGTTTGTCCACCCGCCTCTTGAGGATCGACCACAAGTTCTCAATGGGATTAAGGTCTGGGGAGTTTCCTGGCCATGGAACCAACATTTCGATGTTTTGTTCCCCGAGCCACTAAATTATCCATCATGCTGGAAAAGGCATTAGTCGTCACCAAACTGTTCTTGGATGGTTGGGAGAAGTTGCTCTCGGAGGATGTGTTGGTACCATTCTTTATTCATGGCTGTGTTCTTAAGCAGAATTTTGAGTGAGCCCACTCCCTTGGCTGAGAAGCAACCCCACACATGAATGGTCTCAGGATGCTTTACTGTTGGCATGACACAGGACTGATGGTAGCGCTCATCTTGTCTTCTCTGGACAAGGTGTTTTCCGGATGCTCCAAACAATCGGAAAGGGGATTCATCAGAGGAAATGACTTTACCCCAGTCCTCAGCAGTCCAATCCCTGTACCTTTTGCAGAATATCAGTCTGTCCCTGATGTTTTTCCTGGAGAGACGTGTCTTCTTTGCTGCCCTTCTTGACACCAGGCCATCCTCCAAAAGTCTTTGCCTCACTGTGCGTGCAGATGCACTCACACCTGCCTGCTGCCATTCCTGAGCAAGCTCTGCACTGGTGGTGCCCCGATCCCGCAGCTGAATCAACTTTAGGAGACGGTCCTGACGCTTGCTGGACTTTCTTGTGCGCCCTGACGCCTTCTTCACAACAATTGAACCTCTCTCCTTGAAGTTCTTGATGATTCAATAAATGGTTGATTTAGGTGCAATCTTACTAGCAGCAATATCCTTGCCTGTGAAGCCCTTTTTGTGCAAAGCAATGATGATGGCACGTGTTTCCTTGCAGGTAACCATGGTTAACAGAGGAAGAACAATGATTTCAAGCACCACCCTCCTTTTAAAGCTTCCAGTCTGTTATTCTAACTCAATCAGCATGACAGAGTGATCTCCAGCCTTGTCCTTGTCAACACTCTCACCTGTGTTAACGAAAGAATCACTGACATGATGGCAGCTGGTCCTTTTGTGGCAGGGCTGAAATGCAGTGGAAATGTTTTTTGGGGATTAAGTTCATTTTCATGGCAAAGAGGGACTTTGCAATTAATTGCAATTCATCTGATCACTCTTCATGACATTCTGAAGTATATGCAAATTGCCATCATCAAAACTGAGGCAGCAGACTTTGTGAAAATTAGTATTTGTGTCATTCTCAAAACTTTTGACCAAGACTGTAGAGTTGGTGCCTTATGAGACTGTATATGCTGTGGTTATTATTGCCACCACTAGAGGGCAGCCTCTCATAGATGCCCATGTAGCCTGCGGCCTGTCATATTGAAGAGTTCTCTGGTATGACGTCTTCAGTAGAACAGATATCTGCGTTACCATGCCTCCTTCCCTCTGCCTTGCTGCATCATACAGAGATGGAATATTAACTACCAGACAAAGAGGTCTGTTCCACTTCTCTACTTCCTCCTTTTCTCTCCTCCCCCACACCTACTCTCAACTAATCCTCCTCATTCCTCCCTCTCTCTCTTGCTCACTCTCCCTCTCTTTCCAATTCTTCCTCCATTCTCTCTCCTCCTCTGACTTCATTCTCTCTCCATTCTCTTTCTCTCTCCCAGGTGTCATGAGGGATCCTAGTTCAGGTATCCTCCCACAGGGTGTCTACTAATCGCCATTCATTACCAACAATTACACACGCATGCATACACGCGCACACACACACAAAACATCTCTTCATGGGTGATATGTACTGCTGCTTGCTATACTCTCCTGTGAGATGTGACACAGATCGAGTGACAGACAGAGAGCATCCATGTCAGTGGTGCCAGCTGTCTCAGTGTTACCACCCATGGACAGTGGCATGTATTCATGGATGCCAAGGGAATCCAGGCTTCCCCAAAAATGTGACCAATAACAAATACAATTAGAAAATAATTTGTATTTAGTCTCTGTGTGTTTTCATAATTTTCCTCAATTCGCAAGTGGCTGAATCTCACCGGAGAAATCATCAGAGCGAAAGAAACAGCGCCCCTCTGTCTCAGTATGTGTAGCCCATGTATCTGATGCTGTCTTGAACAAAAGAGTATGACATGTTGCTTCTGTATCATTTGATTGATGCCAGAAAGTATTTGGCCTCCCTTAATAATTGTTTAAATGAAATAATTAGCCAATCAGCATTGGACTGAGCTCAACTGTGGGTTGTCCTGGCGCGGCCAGTTTGGATTCGGCTTCACACCAATCAAATCACATCCTGAGAAAAACATAATCATTGTCAGAAGAACATGTCTGTTTCATTGTTGCCCATGCGAGGAAGTTA